GCAGGACCAGTTCCTGCTGCAGCTCCACCACGCTCATGGCCTCGCTCAGGTCCTGCTTGTTAGCCACGACGATGACAGGCAGGTCAGGGTCCTTGTCCAGCAGCTTGTGTAGTTCCTGGCAGGTCCAGGGCAGCCGCAGCCAGTCCGCCGAGTCCACCATGAACACCAGCACGTCCACCTCGTTCACAAACTCCTTTAGGTAGAAGAGCAGGTTTTGGTTGCCACCGATCTCCAGCAGGTCCACCTGGAAGTCCTTGGTGGGCAGCCGCACCCGAGTTGAAGCCCCACGTGGGGATGTGGCCTTGGAGCGGTGGCTTCCTCGTCAGCACACGCAGGAACCTGCTTTTCCCCCAGCGGTCCAGGCCCAGCACCAGCACCTCGTGCTGCTCCAGCTCCTCCAGTGCCGGTTCCTCCTCCAGTTCCCACTCATCCCATTTGGGGAGGCGGGCCGGCTCAGCGCCCCACCAGGCTTCGCTCTGGTCCCAGCACCGCTGCCGCCCGAACCCAACCTAGCATGCCTGCCATGCCACCAAGCGCCAGCACCAAGGGGCCCAGCAGCCGCGGTGCCATGGGGCCGGGTGCAGGGCGCAGGCGCAGGGCTGCACTGGCTGAGCTTGCCCAGCCAGCCGCTGAAGATGGCCCCACTGCCCAAAGAAAACATTTTTAACAAATCATTACTCATTGAAACCTGCAGTCACCTGGCTAGAGCTAGGAACTCCATGGTTGGTAGCACATGCGATTACCTAGTGACAAATAGTTTACTTATACTCAAAATCAATTTTTGCTAAACACAATCAAACTAATATTGCTTAAAATGTTGAGTATAGAATTAAAAAATCATAAATTAAAAAAAATTTATAAAAGCATATAACATAGATTCTTTGCTAAATCTTATAATCAAATCATGCATTAATTACAGTCACCTTCACCTAGTGCTGATTCAATTGTTTTTATTCTTTTGTTAAAGGACAGTGAAAGGGATCAAGGCAGCTCAGCCAATGTACAAACAGAGGGCCTTTACAAGAAACTTCCTTTCATCTATAAACTTTCTTTCTCTAAATATAAGTGCCAGTATAAGATAGAGATTTTAAGCCATTTTGAAAGGGTTTTGTTTTATTTCCTTTTAGAAGATGCCCCATATATTTTTGCTTTTTGTGTTGAGAAACTAAAATGCGTCATATCATGTGTTGTAACAGTTTGAGGTGCATGGTAAACAAACTCTTTGTACCTCCATGATTGCCATCTGTTCCAAGATATTATCAAGCCATTTCTTAAGGAAAACACTACTTATATTAGGGCAAACTTCAGGGCAAAAGTGGGCACATAACAAGATGTTTGGAAACATTGTGGGCTCACTTGTACTATTGTATACTTTTAGCTGTGTTGGGTGCCTCTCTGTCTAGCCACCCCAGCCCCTGTCCTAGTTTTCATGCCCTCCAGTAGCAGTGGTAACCCAAGAGGGAGGAGCCCACTATTTCCCTACCAGGCCTCTCCCACTCCCAATTATGCACTCTCCAGATGGTTCTGTGGTTTGACTTGACAGAATTATCCCCCAGTGCCAGCTTCTGCCAGCTGATGCTGTGGCTAAGCTCAAACAACCCTCACCCACTCTAATTTTGTTTGCACCAGTAGGAATAATCAGCACAGCCTGGCTTTTCCCTGATCTAGTCCACATGAGGCACACAGGTGTTGTAGCCCTGCTTAGTCTGGTCTGCCCCCATTCCAGCTGACACTCCCCACTGGGAGTAGCTTAGTCTGGTCTGCCCCCATCCCAGCTCACGCTCTCCACTGGGAGTAGCTGTCCAGCAAGGGGACCCCCATATTCCCCCTGCCAGCTCTGCCCTCTCCCTTCCTGGGTCTCATGCGTGCTGGTTGGGCACTGCAGTCATCTCTGGTACAGGCAACCTCACCCTGGCATTCCATATTGTGCACTGATTTTTGTCGTGACCGAACCTGGCTCGATCCACACTCTGTTCTGGTGCTTGGATTTGCCAGTGGATGACGTGAACTGATTCAGCCTGGTCTGCCGCCGACCCATGCCAAATGTATGTCAGTGGGAAACTTCCCATGGCCTGTTTGGGCTGTTTCCTATCATGCTTCTTGCGCTTACCTGCCAGGTCTGTGTCCTGCCAGAGGAATTGCCCAGGCCCCTCCATCAGGACCTCTTCCAATGCCAGATTTTGCACATACCAGGGGGTCCATGAGCCAGCCCTACTCAGTTCACCTCCTGTCCTAGCAGGAACAGTGGCTTTTTCTGACTGGCCTTCAACCCAAACTGTTTCTTGCTGTTGGATGTTTCAGCCCAGTCATGGTTTGTTCATACCCACATATGGCTCACACATGGCTCAATAGGGGTTGCAACCTAGCCTGGTCCGTCCCACATCTACCCTGGTCCTCCAGGACACCAGACGGTGTAGGAGTCTCGCCCAGCTTGGTGCATCCAGTCCCAGTTCACATTTGTGCCAAGGGAGACTACAACCACAACCGTTTCTTGATCAGAACACAGCCCCCATTCCAGCCCATGGGCCCCTTAGTGGGAACCTCAACCCAGTTAGGGTGTCCCCTTAGCTCCCCAACTGGGCCTGTTCCCAGCCATAGATCACACGCATGCCAGTGGTTGCTCTGACTCAGCTTGGCTCAGCCCCTCACCTGTCCCGACCTCTGCCTTAGACACTGTGGCTTAGCGTTCCTGGCTTATGCAGACCAGTAGGTGCAAGAGCCTAGCTCAGCATGACCTGTGCTCCATTCTGGTTTCTAATTTTGCTTGTGGGCTAAGGTTTGCTCATCTTGCCCAGTACATCCCATTCCATTACCAATTCACACATTAGCCAGCTGTTGGAACTACTTTGCCCAGCTTGTCCGACCCCCAGGGCTGGACCACATGTTCACCTGTGGGAGCTTTGACTCACCAGGGGAGTTTCCCAAGTTCTTTCACTTGATCCTCTCCCAGATCCAGTTCTCATACATGCCATTGGGCTTAGGTCAGGTCCCAGCGAAGTCTGGCCTTCCATTTGGCCTTGCATGAGCTGGTGAACGTTGCAGCCCAGCCCACCCCACACCCTATTCAGGATGCACATTCGTGTGCTGCTGCCTTGACCAGTCCAGACTATTGTCGGTTCCTTTACCTGTGATTGATGGCAGGCTCCTTGGTCACACCTAGTTTAGTCCATCACCACCCCAACTCTTGAGCTAACCAGTGAAGCTAGAAGTTCCACAGGGTTTGGCCCACACATCCCCCACAGAATCTACCCCGGGATATGGTTCTTGAGTGCTAGTTAATGTCATGGCCCTGCCTAATGTGACCCGTCTCCTGATCCATCATCATGTCAGGTAATAGGATATGATCCTGCTAGACAAGCTCCGAGCCTTAGCTTTTGCATGGACTGGTGTTCAGTGGTCAGCATTGTTCAGTGATTACAAATTCTTGAAAGGAAAAGTTACTCTGTCATTGGGAGTCATTAGGATTGATTCACATCCCAGAGGCACAGTGGGTTCAACCTGGAGCTACCTTAGCAGCTATTCAAAGAATCAAAACCCCAGAGCTCCTGGCCAGGCGGCCAGCAGGCAGAACCTGGCACCAAATGGCACATTGGCCGCCAGGGGACAGCTCACCACACCTGGCATCCCCGCAGCAGCCAGCAGGCTGCCAGAAGTTTCAACCCCCAGGCCCAAGGTGCTCTCTCCTTGGCTTGTAAAGGGCCATCTTTTCACTCTGTCCTTGCATGGGCTCCCCCGTCTCTGTGGGTGTCCTCATTTCATCTGCTTGTAAAATCACCAGTCACAGGATCAGCAATGTGGTGCAGCATGTTAAGCCACTGTTTGCGACATCAGCATCCCTTATTAACATGGGTTTAAGTCCCGGCTGTTCTGTTTCAGACTGTTTCCCTGCTGGTGAGCCTGGGAAGGTAGCAAAAGATGGCCCAGGTACCTGGGTACCTGCAGCCACGTGGGAGATACATGTGGAGTTTGTAGCTCCTATTTTTGGCCTGGTTCAAGCCTAGTTGTTGTAGGTAATTGGGGAGTGAGCCAGCTGATGAAAGACCTCTCTTTCTCTCTGTTTCTCTCTCTCTTTATTGCTCTGCCTCTCAAATATATTAATTTCACAAGGAAAGCATCAGTCATATTTGATTAGGACTGACCTGCAAGAAATTTGTGATCTCAGCTTTATCTTTAAAGGCCCTATGCCTAGCACAGTCACAGTGTGGGGTCCTGGGAGCTATGACATCAACACATGAGTTCTGGGGGTTGGGGGACGCAGTTCAGTCATAACTACATGCTTTGCTGCTTTACCAAAACCCTTCAGGACAGCAGTATACAGCCTGGATATGTGCCCGCCCACAAGAGTGAGAACCGCTATATGTGCATATGATGGGGCGGGGCGCACAGAATAGGGCGCAGGAGAATCTGGGGAGACCATGATGGGGCCCCAATGGCACTCACTGGCTGAGGTGACAAATTGGGGCTTTCGTGACAGAAATAAGCACTGAGCGACAAGAAGGGGTGATCTTTGTGAAGCGGACTGGAGGTCCCTGAAAGACTGAAATAGGGGTTAATAGCCTTATGCAGAACCTCTGAGGAAAATCACAGATTAGAGGAGGAAGAAAGAAAGGCGCTCCCAGCAGGCAGAGCTGAGGTCTACTCTGTAGAGCAGGGAGGAGTGTGCAGGGTCGGGGATCTGTGTTTTCTGCTGGGGTCTCTGGAACGGGGTGGTATCCTAAGGCTGCACTATGTCACCTCGCAGTGGCATGGGCAGGGGTTTCTATCTGGTGAGGTAGCGGGGAGCTGGCAGGTTCCCATCGGTGCTAAATATGGTATCAGTAAAGACTGGAGGTTCAAATGAGGTGGGCTCAGGCGTTCCCAAGCATCAGCTGGGCCTGGGAGGTTCACGAACGTTTGGGGGTCCCGCCAGCCCAGGCTGGGTTTCCGGAACGGGGGAGGGGGTGGGGGGCTCGTCGGCGGCTCCCGGGCGCCCCCTGGCGGCCCCGGCCCCACCGCGGCGGCTCCCACAATGCTCGCGTAGCCCTGCTTCGCCTCCGGTGGCGGCGGCGGCTACGGCAGCTCCAAGATGGCGCAGGCGATCTTCGAGGCCCTGGAGGGTGAGCGGCGGCAGGGCCGGGGGAGGCGGCTGTTCCGCGGTGCGCCCCCTCCCGCCGCGCCCTTGCCAGCGCCGGGCCCGGGGCGCGCGGCGGCTGCGGGGCGGAGGGCGCCGGGGCCGGAACAGCCTCGGAGCGGGAGGGGGCGCCGGCAGGAACAGCCCCGGGAGCCCAGGCCTGGCGGGGGAGGAGGGCGGCGGGACCGGAACAGCCGTGGGAACGAGGCCCGGCGGGGAGGGGGGCACCGACGCCGGAACAGCCGGCGGCGGGCTGGTGCGGCGGGAGGGGGGGCTCGGGACCGGAACAGCGGAGGCGCCAGGACCTGAGGCCGGCGCGGGAGGGGCGTCCTGGAGGGAACAGCCCGGGGCCGGCTGGGCTCGGCGGGATGCGGGGCGCGCCCCGGGGCTGTGTGGTGCGGGGACCGCGGCCGGCGGGGGAAGGCCTCGGCCGCTCTCCAGACCGCGGAAGACGTCCTGAGTTCAGGAGAGAACTGGCGCCGGCCATGTGGAAGCCGAGCCGGGGTGTCTTCTGCGTAAAGGGTGCTTGGGTGCAGAGTTGTACTCACTGAGGGCGAGAAACGATGGGCGCTGTGGTAGGGTTGGCCTGGCAGCACTGCTGTCAGATGCCGCCCAGCTGCCCTGTCTGACTTGAGCTCTTGTGGGATCCGGAAGTGGGAGTGGTGCTTAGGCTCAGGGAACTGTGGGCAACCCCTTTGTCCACCTGCGTGGAAGGGAGCCATCCTGGGCGACAGCCCCCAGAATGTTCGTGGAGGGTGTGGCGAGCCGAGAGATGACCTGACTTGTAAATCGAGGCAGCAGAGGCAAAAGTTTGAGTCCTGCACCTCCCTGGGAGACCTCAGCCATCTCGCTTCTCCAGGGATCTAAGTTCTCACCAAGAAATGGGGATACCCTCTCTATTTGGAGGGGTTCTGATTCAGCGCTGTTCATTGAGCCGGTGAGCTGGACGTAGGCCCTGCCTCCCCGGCCTCATGGCAGAGAGAGAAATGATAGAGGGAACAAATAGAAATGAGAGTGGAGACCTGTGTGGCAGCCTGGTTGCTATAAGTCCTTGCCTTGCACGCACCGGGATCCCACATGGGCGTGATCTCATGGCCCTGCTTCCCATCCAGCTCCCTGCTTGTGGCCTAGGAAAGCAGTCGAGGATGGCCCAAGGCCTTGGGACCCTGCACCTATGTGGGATATGCAGAAGAGGCTCCTGGCTTCAGATGGGCTCAGCTCTAGCTGTTGCAGCCACTTGGGGAGTTTATCATTGATCAGAGCTAAATTGATCTTGTGCAAAGCCAGGAGCCCAGAGCTTCTTCGGGGTCTCTCATGCGGGTGCAGGATCCCAAGGCTTTGGGCCATCCTTGACTGCTTCCCAGGTCACAAGTAGGAAGCTGGATGGGAAGTGGAGCTGCCCTAGATTTGAACCCGTGCCCATATGGGATCCCGGCACGTGCAAGGTGAGGACTTTAGCTTACTAGGCTATGGCACAGGACCATGACAGAGTATTCTTACAAGTTGAGTAATGAGCAGAGAGAGAATTCAGCTCCTAAGGACAGTATGAGGTGTGCTGGCTGAGGGTAGGGTAGTGGGACTGGGGGATAGCGTGTGGATGTCCAAGGAAGGGGGCATAAGAATGACCTAGGTATGGGCCTGGCACCATGGGCTAGCAGCTAAAGTCCTTGCCTTGAACACACCGGGATCCCAAATGGGTGCTGATCCTAATCTAGGCAGTCCCGCTTCGCATCCAGCTCCCTGCTTGTGGCCTGGGAAAGCAGTTGAGGCCAGCCCAAAGCCTTGGGACCCTGCACCTGCGTTGGAGACCCGGACAAGCTCCAGGCTCCTGGCTTCGGATCAGCACAACACCGGATGTTGCGATCACTTGGGGAGTGAATCATCAAACGGAAAATCTTCCTCTCTGTCTCTCCTCCTCTCTGTATATATCTGACTTTGCAATAAGAATAAATAAATTAAAAAAAAAAAAAAAAAAGAATGGCCCAGGTTGCAGGAACTGCATTTGCAAAGCCTTGGGTGTAACTTGGTGGGGACATGAGCAGGTCCCCTGGGATGCACTCCAAGATCCATGGTGAGGAGCTAGGGATGCAGCCTGGAGGGTTTGATGGAGCAGCTGAACTTTATCTGGGGATCAGTGTGGAGCTAAGAAAAGGTTTATCGCAGTAGGGGAGCGGCAGCATCTCATTCATGTTTTATAAAGTTCACCCTGGCCACTCAAGGGACAGACAGGAGGGGGAAGGCGATAGGAGGCTGCCTGGCTTGTCCAACTGGGAGCTAACTGGTCTGGGGTCAGGAGCAGCTGTGGGGATGGAAGGAAAGTAGGTGAGAGACACATTTGAGATGCAGAGAAGTATAAAGTCACCAGAGGGCCAAAGGCGGCAGGAGCAGGGGCACTAGGATGAGAGGACAGTTGAAGGATTCTTACGGTTTCTAGAAAAGGAACAGACAGGAGCTGGCGTGGCGGCTGAACAGGCTGAGTCTCTGCCTGAATTGCTGTCATCCCATATGGGTGCCAGTTCGTGTCCTGACTGCTCCACACCCTAATCTAGCTCCCTGCTAATGGCCTGAGAAAGCAGAGGAGGATGGCCCAAAGCCTTGGGTCCCTGTGCCTATGTGGGAGAGCTGGAAGAAGCTGGCTCCTGGCTTCAGATTGGCTCAGCTCTGGCTCTTGTGGGACAGAACTAGATGGGAAGGAATGACACTGCCAGAGTCAGTGTGGGAGGAGGAGGGGTCCGCCAGCAGGAGCCCCTCTAGGTAGAAACATTTTGGGGGGCACGTAGGAGAAGAAGAGTAAAAGAGGCAGGGAAACAGGTACTGGGAAGGTACCAAGCATGTCAGATGCTGCCAGGCGATTTTGGTGGAAAGGTGGAGACTTAAACGCCACTGGAGTAAGTGGAGGATTGGGAGGTGGACAGAGTGTATATATTCTGCTCTTAGGGTACTTGACATTGAAGGGGGAGAGACAGGAACAAAGAAAACAAAGGGATCCAAACACATCTGTGGGATTTGAGGGGTTTGAAGGGGTAGTAAGGAAGTTGGGGTGATAGTGATTCCTGGAGGGGCTCCTTAGGGTTACAGGTAGTGTGAGTAAGAGAGCTTCAACAGGCTGGAAGGTTTCCTGTCTCTCCCACCCCACCCCCGCCTTCCTCCTTTCCTTTAACTTTTTTGAAATGTGGAGATACAGAGGCAGAGAGAAATGTTCCATTGGCTGGTTCAATCCCTAAATGCTCACCACAGCAGGAGCTGAGGGAGGCTGAAGCCGGATGCCCACACTCATTTTGGGTCTTCCCACACCGTGGCAGGGACCTGACAACCTGAGCCACCACTGCTGCCTTTTAGAGCGTGCATGAGTAAATGCTGTCCTTGGATGGTTATTTCCTTCTCGGGCAAGCCTGGAGGAGGACCGTCTAGGACTGCAAGATGGCTGTGTCTGTCAAGGTCTAAGGCCCAAGATCTCTCCAGCTTCTGGTCCTGCATTCCCTAGGGTTTGTCCTCCTGCTGCTAGATAATGGGCAAAGTCCCCACCACAATGTTCTTGTTTCAGGAAGCAGAATGGCTAATGGGGCAACAAAAGGCATCCATATAAAGCAGCTTTTTTAAAAAAAAGATTTATTATTTTTTTTTTATTGGAAAGTCATATATACACAGAGAAGAGGAGAGACAGAAAGGTCTTCCATCTGTTGATTCACTTCCCAAGTGGCTGCAACAGCCAGAGCTGTGCTGATCCGAAACCAGGAGCCTATAGCCTCTTCTGGGTCTCCCACGCAGATGCAGAAATGCAAGGCGCTGGGTTGTCCTCTACTACTTTCCCAGGCCACAAGCAGGGAGCTGGCTGGGAAATGGAGCCACCAGGATTAGAAGCTGTGCCCATATAGGGTCCCAGTGTGTTCAAGGCAAGGACTTTAGCAACTAGGTTACCATGCTAGGCCTCAAGACAGCTTTTGAGACTACTTCCCAGCAGCTGCCATTCATATCATACCTTCACTTCCAAATGTATGGCCAGGAGGTAGTCCTTCAGCTGTCAGAAATACTGCAAGAAGTAACTTCTATCCTGGGACCACCACGTGTCCAGCCTTGGGCTGGATTGCAGCACAAACAGGAGGGGAAGCCACTGGGGAGGGCTGCTTGGCTTTGGCTCTGTGTCTCGGTTGTGAGAGTGTGATCAAAGCAAGATGCCGGACCTGTCTTCTGCAGAAGCCATGTTCCTTTTTCAGGGATGGACAATCAGACCGTTTTGGCTGTCCAGTCCCTGTTGGATGGCCAAGGAGCGGTCCCTGATCCAACAGGCCAGAGCGTGAATACACCTGCTCCTATTCAGCCACTGGGTAAGTATCCCTCAGTTTCATAGTAGACAAGAGGGAAGTGCTAAGGGGTCCTGTGAGGGTGCAGTCACCAGCCTGGGTCTTCAGGCTCATCTCTGGCTGTGCCTGGTTCCAAGGACACCTTCTCTCCTCTACCCAGGGGGCGTAGGAGGGATCAGTATGGAGGGAGTTTACCCTGGAATCACTTCCCAGCCTCTGCTGTAAAGGAGAGAATGGGCAGAGTAGGGATGTTCTCAGTGCAGGGACTGGGACCCCTGAACCCAGGAGAGCACCTTGAGGAAGTCCCCTTGAGAGTCTGTCCAGTCTTCATTCCACAGGCAGTTTGTGAGCACTTGAGAAGCCAACCAGGGGCGGACAGCTCAGTACCTGGATTTCAGTTTTTATCCCCAGAGTTCTTGGCTCTCTGGCCTTGGGCAACTAAGTGAGTCTCTCTGACTGACCGTGTCCACGTGTGTAGATGCTTGTCCTGCACCTAGAACTCCAGAGGAGTGGTGGGGATTGTTTCAGCTGTTGTAAGGAAGGGAGGGAAGCTCCTTGTGGTTTCTTAGATTTAAAAAGTTGACTTCTGTGCTCCGTGAAGTCCTGCTGAGTATTCACGATGAATATGCTGGACTCAGGTTCTGCTGCCCTGACCACCTGGTTCAGGATGGCTGACCCTGCTTCCACTTTGTTGGAAGAAAGGTGGACATGGAAGTCACATCCATTTTGCCTTAACAGGAAGTCACATACTTGTGGCTTGAGAGCATCCTATTGGTCAGAACTCACTGAACTGTCCCACCTAGCTACAAAGAAGCCTGGGGAACATATCCCATGGAGGCCATTTGCCCCATGAGCGTTTTTGTTAGGATACAGGAAGGACCTGGTTAGAATCCAGTAAGAGACAGTTCTGCTGCAACATGTTGGGGTCTTGGCACAATGCGTGGCCATGATAAGCCATCTGTAGTAGGTGGTGATAACTATAGATAACCCTTTACCTGTGTTTTCATTCATTTATCAAATATGCATTGAGTGCTTGCCCAGGACCTAAAGCGGCTATAGTGATGAGTGAGACACTTTGCCTTCTAAGTAGGAGCTCATGGTCTGAAGGTGATGAGAAAACTGTGACACTGGAGATGTGCCCAAAGAAAGGAACTGCGGCTACTCCCTTTAGGAAGGCTTCCTGCAGGAGACAGCTCAAGCTGAGCCCTGTAGAATGAGTTGTTATGCAAAAGGCAGCTTGACACAGGGAGGAAGGACAGTGCATGCAAAGACACATAGGAGCACGACCCTGTGGCCTGTTGGGGACTGATGAGTAAAGTTCGGTAGGATGGAAGTTCTAACTTTGTCGTTTTGGAAGCAAGGCTGCATTGCTTTGTGTGTCACTGGGCTGCCTGGCGCTGGTTGTTCCTGCATGGTGTGAAAGCTCCCAGGTGATCACTGACACACGGCAGGCCACAGGATGCATCCACATTTGCCATTCTCATGGTTAGCCCAGGTCTCCTGTTTTCTTACTGTCATGTCCTCTGACTTACTCTTACCTTTCTCCTCCATAACTCTATCCTCTCAGATGATGAGGATGTCTTCCTCTGCGGAAAATGTAAGAAGCAGTTCAACTCGCTGCCGGCATTTATGACCCACAAGCGGGAACAGTGCCCGGGGAACGCACCGGCCCTGGCTACAGTGTCGCTGGCCACCAACAGCATCTACACACCACCCTCAGCAGCACCTGCGGCACTCCAGCCAGCCCCGCCTCCTGCCAATCGTCAGGTATTCACTGCTTCCGTGTTTGTCCCTGTATTGCTTTGGCCAGCCTTTCTGGAGCACCTGCTGTGTGTCAGGTATTGTGCTAGTGCTGGGGGTCCAGTAGTGGGCAAGGCAGACCCAGGTCACTGCCCCTGTGGGGTCAGCTGAAGTACTTGTATGTACGTGTATAAAGATGTTCTTGACTGAATGTGTTAAATTCGGAGAGTTTCTATACTTGCTTGGGGAAGGGCAGGTAGGGGAGTGAGTCAGTCAGCTAATCTGGAGAAGACCGTTGTTGGTAGTTGGACCAACATGTGCCCAAGCCGCAAGGTAAGAGTGAATAAGGACAAGGGTGGGAGATGATGAAGTTGGACAGCTAGCAGAGGGTCCTGGCACATCATGTGGATCCTGGAAGCTTTTTGTTCTAAAGGTAGAGTTACGCAAAGAGGAGAGACAGCAAGATCTTCCATCGGTTGGTTCACTCCCAAAATGGCTGCAGTGGCTGGAGCTGACCTGATAGGAAACTAGGAGTTTCTTCTGGGTCTTCAGTGTGAATACAAGGGTCCAAGAACTTGAACCATTCTCCATGGCTTTCCCCAGCCGTAAAGGAGGGAGCTGGATTGGAAGTGGAGTAGCTGGGACTCAATTTGGTCTGTATATGGGGTGCTGGCACAGCAGGCAGAGACTTTAGTCTACTATGCCATGGCACTGGTTCTAGAGAGTTGAGAAAAAAAAAATTTAATATTTATTTATTTGTATTGGAAAGGCAGATATACAAAGAGAAAGAAGGACAGAAAGACCTGTTCCCTGGTTTACTCTCCAAGTGGCCACAGTGGCTGGAGCTGATCTGATCTGAAGCCAGGATCCAGGAGCCAGCTTCTTCCAGGTCTCCCATCCAGGTGCAGGATTCCAGTGCTTTGGGGGCATACTCTGCTGCTTTCCCAGACTACAAGCAGGGAGCTGGATGGGAAGTAGAGCAGCCAGGACATGAATTGGCCCTCATATGGGATCTTGGCACTTGCAAGGTGAGGATTTTAGCCACTGAACCATCACGCTGGGCCCAAGAAAAATACTACAGGTGTTGATGAAGGTGTAGATCAATTGTGTAACAGGCATGAGACAAAGAGAGGTCAAGGCTAACTCTGGGGTGAAGGCATCGGCCAAAGTGAGTAAAGCTTCAAGGAGAAGTGTTTGGGAGACACTGGGAGTTTAGCTGGACGTGTTGGATTTGAGATGTGCTTCAAGATGGGACTTCAAGTGAAGTCAGCTGTGCTGATCTGAAGCCGGGAGCCAGGAGCTTCTTCCAGGACTCCCATACATGTGCAGGCATCCAAGGCTTTGGGCCATCCTCAACTGCTTTCCCAGGCCACAAGCAGAGAGCTGGATGGGAAGCGAGGCTGCTGGGATTAGAACCGGTGCCCATATGGGATCCTGGTGTGTTCAAGGCAAGGACTTTAACCATTACGCTATCGTGCCAGGCCAAAGATCTCACTTTTTATCTCTGCTTCTTTCTCTGTTACTCTGTTTTCCAAATAAATACTTTTTTTTTCTTAAAGAAAGAGAAAGTTGATTATGGGCCAGCACAATCACCCTGCCTCACTGGCATGGATGCACGCAGGTGTGATTCAAATAATTCACATGAAGTCATTGGCATGCAAGTGAGTTGCATCGACACAGCCTCCAGCCAGGTCTCACATGTGGATGCCAGGGACCCAAGCCTCTGAGCCTCCCAGGGTGTGCTTTAGAAGGGAGCTGGACTGGAAGTGAAGGAGCTGGAACCCTAAGTGGCACTCCCGTACAGGGTACAGTTGTCTCATGTATGGACTTGCTGCTGTGCTAAATGTCTGCCCCATGCTGTAGTAGTAGCTGATAGCCAGCCCCATGATTCTTGTCTATTATTTTTATTTATTATTATATTTTTGTCCATTATTTTTTAATCCATTCCCCTTTGGATAGACTTATAGATTATACTTTCCCCATTAGAGACAAGGCTGTATGCTATCCTCTCATTGGTTGGCTTCCTGTGCGCATGAATGTGTTTTATTAAGATTTGTTTTTAATGAAAAGGCAGATTTATAGAGGAGAGACATAAAGATCTTTCAATTTGTTCTCCAAGTGGCCACAATGACCAGAGCTGAGCCAATCCAAAACCAGGAGCCTTGTCCGAGTTTTCCATGTGGCTGCAGAGGTCCACTTTCCCAGGCCACAGCAAAGAGCTGGATGGGAAGTGGAGCAGCCAGACGTGAACCAGTACCCTTGTGGGATGCTGGTGCTTTGAGGTGGATGATTAGCCAGTTGAGCCATCTGTCCTTGTATGGCACTGTATGTGCAGGGTCCCTGAATGAATGTTTCTTTAGGACAGAGATCAGGAAGTGTTATTGTTCCATCTTAGGGTACGTGCTTTACCGTGAATTACTCTCTTCATTAGGTGAATGGTGAAAGGGAGGCTCAAAAATGTAGAGTGACCTTCCCAGGGTGCTACAGCCAAGAGCAGCAGCAGTGCCATTGAAACCCGGGCCTGGGCCTGCCAGAACCTGGGTCTTGTCATTGCCTTTAGCTTCCTTATCGGGCCTCAGACTTGTGTCCCCCCCTTGCTCTGTCCTGCTGTCTTGCTGTCCAGATCTCCACATATATCACAGTGCCCCCGTCCCCGCTGATCCAGACCCTGGTGCAAGGGAACATCTTGGTGAGTGACGACGTGCTCATGTCTGCCATGTCAGCCTTCACCTCCCTGGACCAGCCCATGCCCCAGGGCTCCCCGCCTGTGCAGGTAAGGAGGCAGACAGCATCTCCCACGCTCTGAATTCCATGCTATCCACTGTGAAATCAGGATCAGTGTCAGGGAAGGGAGCCTGGCCCCAGCTCCCTCCTGTGCTGGGAGAGTCTACTGCCCTTACCCTTGGGCAGCTGTTGTGGGTGTAGAAACTGCCATGTTCAAATAGGAACTTGGAGCATGACTGGGAGTGGTGGGGGCTTGACAGCCACAGTCCAGCAATTTTGATTCCTGTTTTACTCTTAATAAAAACGTGTTCATCAGAGGAATATCTGGAAACAGTGTTGATTTGGTAGGGCAAGTCTCTCTGTCTTCCCTCTGTCCCTGCAGTGGAGCAGTACTGTAGACTTGGTTAACCCACACTTTTGTCTGGGTGTATTTGTGGAAGCGAGCACTGTTGTTGATGTGGAATCCTGATCAGCATCTTCACCTTTGCATTCTCCCATGGGTGTCCTTTGGGTTGCTGCCATTGCCTTGCTGTTAGGAACCACGGGAGCAGCCAGCCACCCGTACGCAGGCCACCCTGCCCGTCTGCCTGGTGATTTTTGAGAATATGTTGCTTGAAGCCAGGGGTCATAGTTCAGGGGTTCATAACCACCTGGAGCTCTCTCATGACTGCTTTGCTGCTGCTGCTGCCCCTTGAGTTGGCGCTTGGTCCCACACGTCTCATTAGGGTCCATGTCCTTGCTAGTGAAGCAGAGCACTGGCACCCAGAGGCTCTAACAATTGCTTCTTTCTTCTGATTTCAGAGCAGCCTGAATATGCATTCCGTGCCCAGCTACCTCACCCAGCCACCTCCACCGCCACCCCCACCTCCACCACCGCCTCTGCCCCCTCCCCCACAGCCCCCGCCACCCCCACCCCAGAGCCTGGGCCCCCCAGGACGGCCCAATCCTGGTGGGAACGGTGTGGTGGAAGTGTACAGTACTGCAGCGCCCCTGGCAGGGGCTGGGACCGTGGAGATCCAGGCTCTGGGAATGCAGCCCTACCCGCCCCTGGAGGTGAGTAGGGAGTGTCTGATGGGAGGGGACAGGTGGTGTCCATCATGGGCCACCTGGGCTTTTACTGAGTACCAGCTATGTGCCAGACCCTGCTGTGGGAGGTGCTGTGGTAATCAAACTACATTGTCTGGGAGAGGAGGACCTGAGTGGCTGTAAGTGCAAGCCTGGGGAAGGTGGGTGGGCACCAGGGTCTGGCCGAAACACATGCAGCCTGCAGGTGGCACTCAGAACATCAAGGAGCTCGTGCCTTTCAGGAGCAGCACAGAGACAGAGCTTGCCTGTCAGCTGCTTCAGTCCCTCCAGGTCTTCATCAGCCAGGGCTGGGCCACATCTCTCACTTGGTGGCTGGGACTCAACTGCTTGAGCCTTTGCCTGCTTCCTCCCCGGGTGTGCATCAGCAGGAACCTGGAACAGGAAGTAGGGTTGGGGCTTGGAAATCAGGCACTCAGATATGGGATGCAGATGGCCCGAGTGGTGACTTAACTGCCATGTGCCTACCTCTCCTATGTGTTAACAAGCCATGTGTCAGTTCGCTACTGCTGCGTAAGAAATATCCATCAGACTTCAGTATACTAAAGAGCGTTTGTTGCTTACTATCCACGAGTTTAGGGAGGTCAGCTATGTAATTTGGTGATATTCAGCCACTTGTCTAGCTGTTGCCAGGCTATCGGCTGCCCTTGGGTGGCCTGTCTGGAACAGGTAGGGTGGCTTGGCTGTGCTCCATGTGGTTCTCATCCTCCCACAGGTTCTCAAGGCTGGGCTGGAGTTGCAAAAGTACAGGCTGCCATGCTCTTGAACCTTTGGCTTGTAAGTGACACAGGGTCACTTCTCTTAGCCAAGTAGATCAAGGGCCAGCCTCAATCCAAGGGAGAGCAAAGTTGATGGGAAAATTATACTGCAAAGACGTGCATGTGAGGAGGAGTGGAGCACTGAGACAGAAATGAAAAGATTTGACCCAGATCACACAAGGGTTTTAAATGGAGCCAGTCGAGCCCAGTGCGGTGGCCTAGTGGCTAAAATCCTCACCAAGAATGCACTAGGATCCTGTATGGGCACCCGTACTAATCCCGGCAGCTCCACTTCCCATCCAGTTCCCTGCTTGTGGCCTGGGAAAGCATGTAGAGGACAGCCCAAGGCCTTGGGATCCTGTACCCATGTGGGAGACCTGGAGGAAGTTCCTGGCTCCTGGCTTCAGATCAGTGCAGCACTGGACGTTGCTGTCACTTGGGGAGTGAATTATCAGACAGGTCTTTCTATCTGTCTCTCCTCCTCTTTGTATTTCTGACTTTGCAATAAAAATAATAATAAATACATATATATATTTTAATAAATGGAACCATTCAACCATTCTACCAATCAGCATTCCGAGTCCCTTGCTGATAAGTTGGGGGCTAGGTTTTTGCTTGAGGCACAACTTCAGAGAGCCAGGGTAGGGGAAAGAGGCCTCTGACCCCAGTTTCCTCCCGCTCTGAAGTGGGGCTGTGACGGACTGGGAGAGCCTACGCCACGGTGATCATAGACTCAGCAGCGCCTCTAGAGATGGGAAAACCCTTCATCCCTGTGAAGTCTCCTTGCTGATCTGGAAAGTTGAAGCCACACTAGAAGTTTCTGGCAGAGCCATCTCCTACAGGAAGTTGTATGTTTGCAAAGCTGATGGATGATCCCAGGGGGCCACAGCCAGGGGCTGGGCTGCCACGGGGTTTTTAGTTCAACGCTATAGCCCCGACCAGACAAATGAGCCTGGAGCCCTGTGTTGATGGAGCTCCAGTGGCCTTGGTCCTTGGGCGGTGATTGGAAGAGTGGAGTCCAGCCAGGGTAGCAACTTCACCAGGGCCTGGGCAGGCATCTCCTACCACAGCTGCTGATAGAAAGTGGGTCCCACCTCCCTCTGCCTTCTGAGACTCACAGAGTCTCTCCTGGGCAGAACCTCACCTGTAATCAGAACTGTGCTGGCCACAGGCTGTGGCTGCAGACCTGGTCCGGGGTAGATACGGAAAGGCATTGGAGCTGTATAAAAAGCCAGCAGCAGGAACCAGGGGAAGCATCCTCTGGTGTCAGGCTGTGTGCTCATCAATACACCTGTGACTTCATTCATTCTCTAAGTGCTGGCTGTGCTGAGCCTTGCTTCTGGCCAGCAGGTAGAGGGGTAGAACGCAATAGGTAGAAATCTCTGCCACCACAGAGCTGGGTGGGTAATAAATAAGCAAGTCAGTATAGGGAGCACCTTAGATCATCATGAGCCTACAGAGACAAAATCAGGGTGAGCCAGGAAATGCAGCTGGGAGCAGGCTAGCCCAGGCAGACCCACGGTTGATGAATGAATGAATCAGACATGATTTCTTCACAGTGTCTCAGTGTCATGGTGTCAGCTCAGAACTGAATCTGAAAAGCTCAGAATTCCCTGGGTAATTCCTTGTGAATTCTGGGTAAGTAGCTGTGAGTTCTGGGTGGAGGCAAGCCTGCCACCATGATGTCTGCTGCCCTGGTTCTGTCATACTAACAAAACCACGAGCAGACACGATGGCCGAAGTAACAGCCGATATCTCTTCAGTGACTGCTGTGTGCCAGGCTCCATTCTAAGCCCTTTTACCTGTTTGATGTGTTTATGCCTCACTTTGAATACCCCCACTTTGCAGATGTAGAAACCGAGACACATTGGGCTTAAATGGTAGTCAGGTTTCGAACCCACACAGCTTGGCTCCAAAGCTGCCTCTGGCCTGCTGCCTTCTTCTAAGGGGTCCTGGGTGTGATAGGGGGGCTTAGCTGGGGCAGGGGAAAGGGTTAGGTGGTGGTATAGGTGGTGCGTGGCTGAGACCGCCCAAGGCCACAGTGTTTGCCTAGGAGGCATTTCTCCCCTCCCAGGTCTTCACCTGACGCTGCTGTCCTTCCAGGTGCCAAGCCAGTGTGTGGAGGCTCCAGTGTACCCAGCACCCCCTGTGTACAGCCCTGGCAAGCAGGGATTCAAACCAAAAGGACCAAATCCTGCTGCCCCCATGACCAGCACCACTGCAGGCTCAGTTACCGCCTTTGAGCCCCCGCCCACACTGAAGACCCGACGGGCTAAAGATGCCGGTGGACTGCTAGAAGGTGCGTCCCTAGTCTGATATAGGATTCTCTCCACATCACAGGCTGCCTGGCTCTGGGGTTCCCCTTTGTGATGGTCACATGAGCTCTCAAATCCAAAATAGTAGTGATTTTTTGGTAAGATGTATTTATTTTTATTCTAAAGTCAGATATACAGAGAGGAGAAGAGACAGAAAGATCTTCTGTTCATTGATTCACTCCCCAGGCAGCCACATTGGCCAGAGCTTAACCAATCCAAAGCTAGGAGTCCAGAACCTTTTCCGAGTCTCCCACTTGGGTGCAGGCACCCAAGACTTTGGGCCATCCTCAGCTGCTTTCCTAGGCCACAAGCAGGGAGCTGGATGGGAAGCAGGGCTGCTGGGATTAGAACCTGCTCATATGGGATCCCAGTATGTGCATACAAGGCGAGGACTTTAGCCACGAGGCCATGGCACGGGGCCCAAAAGCAGTGACTTTGAGATGTCAGAACTGTGGTTCTCTCCCATGTAAAATGAGGCCTGAAGTAGAAAGCCTAGGGAGGGTGTGACTGCCTGGTCACTGGACGCCTGCATTTCTTCCACCTTTCTCTGCCATCGTTCCTGGAGCATGGCTTCAACCATAAGGGTATCTCATCATCTAGAACGAGCCCTAATCATCGGTTTCATATTTCAGGGAGTAAGAAGGAAGAAGGTAAAGATAAAGGGAGCGTTTCCCAACCTTCAGAAGTTCTGTATGATATTTTCACTTCTATCCCATTGATGAACGCTTAGTCACGTGGGCATCTTTGGCTGTAGAGAAAACTGAGACACATCTGTGCTAGTCAGGAAGATTGATGTTCCCTGTGGGAGGGAGTTTGGTGAGAGATGAAGAAGGAGAGGTGGGGATTAGCCAGGCAGACAGCAGTATCTTCCATCCCTGTGGGGGCATGCTCAGAGTGGGGAGGGAGTGGTTATATAAAGCAGGGGATAAATGGAAGAGAGAGGGATTGAGACTTGTTCAGGGACTTGCCTTCCTTCAGCGTGCCAGGCTCCAGGTGCTCTCAATTTCTCATCACTCAGTAGGAGGGACAGAGGATAGATACACTGGTGCTTTGGAGAGGATGACCATGATTGGGGGTCGCTGGGGAGAGGCTGGAGAGTGGTGCTACTTGTCCCTCTGGGGAGGAATAGGAAGCAGCCAGGTTGGTGGCACTGGGGTAGGGACTTGAGCATTCTAAGCAAGGGGGTGCAGCAGGGGCAAAGGGCTTGGGGTGGGTCCACGCTTGAGGTTGTCTTAGGTTAGTCAGGCTGCCACTGTGGCTGGGTGGAGAGGATGACTAAAGTGGTAGAAGTTCAAGGACGCAGGGCGCTGTGGTCCACAGTGGGAAGGTTGTGTTGCATCCCAGGGCAGAGGGGAAGCTTTGAGATCCATCCTATTGTCCCAGCCAGAGCACAGCCTGGCTCTCCTCCCCAGGGATTGCTCACCTTTGCCTCTCACCCTGCCGGGACTTGGAGGCCAACTCTCCAGAATAAACCCCGGGGTGGGATGTCTCCAGGTGTCCCCACCCTCACCATCCCTTTTCCCACTTTTGTCTTTCAGCCGCAGGAAAACCAAAGGCTCAGAAGCTCAAGTGCTCGTATTGTGACAAATCGTTCACCAAAAACTTTGACCTGCAGCAGCACATCCGAAGGTACCCAGGCCTGATGGGATGGGAGCGCTTGTAGTGTTGGCTGGGGCTGTCTGCACCACAAGGGGACTCCCTTCTCAGTTCTTTTAGCTCAGTGGTGGCTACAGCCCTCTGTGTCCTATCCTGGAGTCCAGGCCCTCAGACCAGGCCAGGATGGCTCCCCCTTTTTCTCACAGGAGCTGTGAGAAGGGCCTGTGGAAGCTGTGAAACCTGCCCCCACATCAACAGGAAGACCAGAGTGGGGCAGTAACTGTGTTTGAACTGAGAGAGTGTTTGCAGGTGTGTTGAGGCTGCTCTTGTCCTCCTCTTTGCAGAAAGGGCTGACCTGCCAGAGTCCCCTCCCCCAGGTTTCCATGAAATGAGGGCCGGGCTTGTACACTGTTTCTCACAGAACTGGCTGCTGAGATGCCAGCAGGTATCCATGGATGGGGTATTGAGAAGTCCTGAACCGTAGTGAGACAGTCACTTAGTGGTGTCAGTCTTGGCAAGTTGTGGAGGGAGTCTGTGTGGTGCTGCTCTATGGTACACCTGGAGCTTGTTCAGCCCTGGCAATGGCAAGGGATAGCTTTCGCCATTTGAGATTTTCAAGTCATCATGCCCTGCCTGTGTGGCATCCCTGACCTCCACCTGTTAGGTACCAGCAACATCCCAGTTCACAGCTGTGCCAGCCAGAGACTTCTCCAGATACGGCACATGTCCCCCAAGCTGGGCGTCGAGCTGGCCTCAGCTGGGCATCACTGGTCTACTTCCAGTTTCAGACCAGCCTAGCTCTGAGTGTTGTGGACTTTTAGGTAGTGAGCCAGCCTAGATCTCTTTCTGTATGACTCTGAATTTCAAATAAATAACTAAATCTGTAAAGGCTCTAGAGCTGCCCTGTTGGGTAGTGCAGATACCAGCAACATTGGATTGTTCACAAGCAGATGCATGAAAACAAGACAGGGTTTCTTGGCTGCACTCACCATAGTCCAAGTGCTCAGGGGTCATATTCGGGGAGTGTCCACCATGCTGGACAAGGCCATTTGAATGCTGCCATCACTGAAGACAGCCCTGTGGGTGCACAACAGTGTAGACCAGTGATGCTCAGCTTAGCTGTTCAGAAGCCAGAAACAGGAGCCTCTTCTGGGTCTCCCACATGGGTCCAGGGTCCAGGGTTTCAAAGTCTTGGGCCATCCTCAACTGCTTTCCCAGGCCACAAGCACTAAGCTGAATGAGAAGTGGAGCAGTTGGGACATGAACTGGCTCCCATATGGGATCCTGGAACTGCAAGGTGGAAGATTAGTCTGTTGAGCCACCACGCCAGTCACTAAAGCTAGGAACTTCTTTTGGGTCTCCTACATGGCTTCAGGGTTCCAAGGACTTGAGCCATCCTCCACTGCTTTCCCAGACCGTTAGCTTATTTGGAGGTTCTAGCAGGGGAACGCAGCTGCTTGTGTACCCTTGACCAAAGACTGGTCCTCCTCTAGCAGGGATGCTCGTCCCCTGACTGAGCATGCACCTTCAGGAGGGATGCACTTGGAGCAGTGAAGGAGGAAGGGGACACCCGCCTAGCCAGCCAGATCAGTGGAATTAACCCTGGTGATCAATGAGGTGACAGATATTGCAGTCTGATTGCCTTCGCATCCTCCCAGGCCATTAGCAGGGAGCTGCGTCAAATATGGAGCAGTCTGGAACTAGGACTGGCGCCATGTAGGATACAGGTGCTGCAGGCAGAGGCTTAACATACCATCAGATTGACTCTGGATCTTAATTACACTGGTTCACAGTGACTATAGATTTTGGGTTACTTTGTGGATATAGCAAGTGGTTCTCTATTAGCAATAGAAAGCTTCATTTTACAATGTTTTTCAGTTTTTAAACAGTGGGCTGATTATAAGAAAGATATCAGGTAGTGCTTCAGGTGGTGGGCCAGCCTGGAGGTTTCCCCATTCAAATGACAGGAGTTGCACTAAAGTGGGCTAGGATTCCAAAGGGTTGCCTTATCTGGGGTAGGAGGTGTGTGAGAGGAAGGCCTGGGTCTGTCCCTTTTGGTCTGCCCATTTCTGTGAGGGCATGGTTCTGCCATGTCTAGGGTGGCCAGTCATTTCAGACTGGTCCCTTGTTGCAGGCCCGGCAGCTCCCGGGCCAAGGCCAAGTCCCTCCCTGGCTGAGGGTGATAACAGGTGCTGTTTCCACAGCCACACCGGGGAGAAGCCCTTCCAGTGCATTGCATGTGGCCGCGCCTTTGCCCAGAAGTCCAATGTCAAGAAGCACATGCAGACCCACAAGGTGTGGCCTCCGGGGCGCAGTGGCAGTACCGTTTCACGCAACTCAGTGACTGTACAGGTCATGGCCTTGAACCCCAGCCGGCAGGAGAATGAGGAAAACACAGGTGGGTAGATGTGGGCAGTGCTGTTCTTCCCCTGCCTCTCCTCTTCAGCTTCTCGGGTTTTGTTGCTTGCTGTGTGGCCCTGGGCAGCCTCCTGGACTGCTCTGGGCTTCAGTTGATTTTAGAAATTGGGACATAGGATGACAGACACACAGTGTGTGGGTTTTATTTATTCTAGTTCTGTAGCCTCAGCAGTCATCTCTAGCCAACCACCTATCTTTTTTTGGAGGGGATAGTTATTGAACCTGGACCCTACCTCAGAATTTATTTTCATTTTCTGTTTTGAATTTTTAATTTAAAAAGGTCAGTGAAGAAGCAGAGAGAGAGAGAAACAGAGGCAGAGATCTTCCCTCTGCCAGTTCATTACCCAAATGACAATAGCTGGGGCTGGGCCAGACTGGAGCCAAGAGCGTGGAACTCCATCCTAGGTGGCAGTGACCCAGGTACTTGAGCCATGTCTTGCTGCCCAGTCCCCCTGGCCCCGCCGCCCCAGGGTTTACCTCAGTGGGAAGTTGCAGTTGTGAGTGGAGCCAGAACTCCAACTCAAGCACTTAGACATGCAGTGCAGGTGTCCCAAGTGCATCTATTCAGTCATTTTAGTGTTATAAATAACTTATTAATGAGATTTTTATTGATGTTTTTGAGGGGCAAAGCAACAGAAAGCACACTTCCATCACCTTGTTCACTCTCAGGAGGCCCACAATGGCCAGGCTGGGTGGGGGCCAAAACTGGGAGCCAGCAATGTAATTCAGGTTTCCCATATGGGACCCACTTACCTGCAGCATCCCATTGTCCCCCAAGATCTGCACTGGCAAGAAGCCAGAGATAGGAGCTGGAAGTGTAAATTCCATCCAGCTCCCTGTTAGGCACCTGTGAAGGCAGCAAGAGATGGTCCAAATGATAACAGCAAAAAGTCTCAGTGAATGGAGCCAGTGGACATTGGGAGGGTGACATCATCCTCGGACTGGTGAAATTGGCAGCATTCCAGAACTATCCAAACCACTTGGACAGAACCCTAGGAATATGTACACATTGAGACTCTGGGTTGATGTGAGGTGGCGGTTCCTCATCCATGGGTACTGGGATGTGTGGAAAGTCATCAGTGGTTTCCCCCTTTGTCTCTCTCCTTCCCCCAGAAACAGCAAGAAGAAATAGTAAATTTGGAAGTAATGAGTACACCCAATTTTCCCTAAACCTCGATCCTTCCCACCCTGTTCCACAATGTAATCAGAATAAAAAATAAAATTTATTAAAAATTTTTTTTTAAAGAAGTAGAAAAAAAAAAAAGAGAGAAATGGCTCAAATGTTTGGCCTCCTTCCACCTGTGTGGGAGACAAGGTTAGAATTCCTGGCTCCTGACTTCAGCCTGTCCCAGCCTCAGCTGTTGCAGCAATTTGGGGAGTGAGCCAGCAGATGAAAAATCAAACTCCATCCACACCATTTCTTTGTGTAACTCTACCTTTCAAATAAAGCAATGTGTAAATAAATAATAATTAAAAAAAATAAGTTATGAAACAATTGTACTTTAAGGAAAAAACACTGTAGATACTCTGGAATGAGAAGTGTCTAAGTGCCTCCCCTTCTGGATTTTTTTACATCCAATTTGTATTCACTTCTGTAGCACTTTAGGGTATGGAATGGCTCCATATTGAAGCTGGTAGCCTTGGCCTCTGTGTTGCACAGCACAGGACCAAGAGCCTAGACCCTTTCCATGTCTCTCTAAGGACAGCAGTGCCAGCCAAGAACCAGCCAACAAGGGGGCTCTTTAGTTGGCCAGACAACCAGTAGGCCATCCTTATTCAGCCTCCTATCTGCTTCTCCCATTGGGACTAGCCCTACTGTGTGCTCTCTGCAATCTTGTGAGCTCCTTCCAGAAGAAACGGTTTGTTTCTTTTGAAACACCTACAATGTCTGGCTGCAAAGGTTCAACTATTTATTTAGCAATTATTCTTGGAAATCTACTATGTGCCAGACCACCAGGCCTCCCAAGATGAGGTCAGAGGTCCCTGGTGGCAGGGAGCGTGAGGAACAGTCTAGCAGGGGAAAGACGGTGAACCAAATGATTGTAATCAGGAGTTGGCAGGAGTGGCGGGCTGATTTTCACCAGCTGTGGAGAGATGTAGAGTGTTGGAGATGAAAGCCAGGGAGGGCAGACTTAGGGTGGTGTATTTCTGGGTGTTAGCATCCGGCGTAGCTGACTGTGAGCACCTTGGGTGCAGCGTCCAATTCCAGGCACCTGGTAGGTGGGGGCTGGACACAGGTGAGCACAGCAAGTGTTACCCACCTCTTCCTCTTCCTTGAATGTCTCCGCTCCTGCTTCCCCTCCCCGGCCCCTCTCAGTGACTCTCTCCTTGGCTTTGTCTGCAGGGCTGAGCCAGACCCTGGCTGGTGCATCGCAGCCGCAGGCCCTGGCCACGGCAGGCGAGGACGAGGGAGACAAGCTGGAGACCAAGCAGGTGGTCCTCATCGACAGCTCCTACCTGTGCCAGTTTTGTCCCAACAAATTCAGCACCTACTTTCAGCTCAAGTCCCACATGACCCAGCACAAGAACGAGCAGGTAGGAAGATGGGGGGCACCTGTAGCATCCAAGGCTCCTGCCCCGGGGCTGGTGGGGAGAACAGGTGGCAGAGGCAGCTTTCACGCCCCCTCACTAACCTGACGTCTCCCCTCCAGGTATACAAGTGCGTGGTCAAAAGCTGCGCACAGACCTTCCCAAAGCTCGACACGTTCCTGGAACACATCAAGAGCCACCAGGAGGAGCTGAGCTACCGCTGCCACCTGTGTGGCAAAGACTTCCCGTCGCTCTATGACCTGGGCGTGCACCAGTACTCACACAGCCTTCTGCCACAGCACAGTCCCCGAAAGGACAGCGCTGTGTACAAGTGAGTATCCTGTGAGGCCCTGGACTCTGACCAGGCTGGGGCGGAGTCAGACACCTGAGGCTGAGACCCTTCTTGCCAACTGTTGGCATTGGTCAGGGAGAAGACCCCGACCTTCCTTAGGTTGTCCTCCAGCATGGAAGATGCTTGTGCTGGAGACATTCCTTCAAAGGGGCATGCAGTATTTCCTCATGCACAGTAAGTACAAAAGGGTTTGGTGTATTTTTTTAAATTGAAACTGAAAAATGATGAAAGGCTCAGAGTAGTATAGTGTCTCACACGCTGAACAAGTTTGGGTTACAATCAAAACAGTACCTGCTTGCTAGAATGAAAACAGGATGTATTTGAAAGCAGAAAACCATGAGGATAAGATCCATCTGTTGATCATCTCTGACACTTGGGGTCAAGGTGGAAGGCGTACAGTGACCTTAGCACATGCGGGTTTTCTACAGGGTCGTCTCTCTGCTGTCCTTTCCCTCCCTCCCTGGGTCTCCCACTGTGGTCCTGAAGAGGGTCTCTTTGGCAGGAGGGATTCAGGCGTCCTGTGGGTTTGCCGTGGGCGTTTCCTCTTTAGGGTCTTCAGATCATTCCTTTTGGAGCTGTCAATTGCATGAGCACTCTCGGTGGTCTCCCAGACCCTGCTTTGGCAACGGTGATACCCGCAGATATCCAACATTGCTTCCATGGCTTGGCGCAATCCTGCGTTTGTGCCCTGCAGGCATGCGCTGTGCACACGCCCTCTGTCCTCTGGGAGCTGCTGCTCCTCCACAAAGCCCAGGACTCAGCGTGGACTGCTGGGCGGGAAGCAGAGGGCCATGTTTGTCCAGAAATTCATTCCAGTTCCATTGTGACTACCTTCCTCTTAGGACAGCTTTTACTCTGCTGGACACTCTGGTACCCGCTGATCACCCCTGTTAGTGGGGATCCCTGCCCCTCCTGAGAGAGGCTTCCGGGAGTCACACACAAGCAAATTCCTTGAGCTTCAATTACTTGCGGGGCAGGTATGCTCGCTATGCCTGCTACTTCCCTGGCTCAAAAGTAGGAGGCAGGCCAAGCTTCTTCCCAGATGGCTTCAATGTAGAGTGACTCCGTCTGTGTAACAGTAAAGGCTGTGGAGCTCACAAGCCATCCACAGACTCAGGGGAATCCCCTCATAATTTGTCCACTGTTGACCTCCATCGTCTCATCATTGAAATGGGACTCACATGGGTGCCTACCCTATTGGATTGTATGTAAGAATCAAGTAAGGATGAAGAGGGCCTGGGTAAACTTAGCTGCCTGCGGTAGAGACAGACTCAGTGTGGCTTCACCAAGGGAAGAGCCTGGACAGGTGTTCAGCTACTTCATCTTGCCCTGTTTCCCCTGAGCCAGGTTGCTCTAGCCTGCCTTTAGTCACCTTCCCAAAACACTGAAGTGAAATTTGTGTATGCCACTATTTCTATGCCATAGCTCATTTCTTTTTCTTTTAAAAAATAATGTTCATTGGTTTTGAGTGGAGGTTATCCACTTCCAATACAGAGAACAGGATTTTTAGGCCTCATGAGGATTAGAACCTGAAGCAGACACTGATAACTTCTTGGTTTGTGTCCCTGGGTCTGGCTCTGTAGTGTTTGTAGGTGTGATGCAGATTGCAGTGTGCTGACTGTGTGGAGTCAGGGGTTAGGGTTAGTCGCTGCATGTGATGCTGATTCCTGATGCTTCAGTCCTGTCACTTAAGAGAGGCAGATTGGGCCCGGCACGATAGCACAGTGGCTAAAGTCCTCGCCTTGAACATGCCGGGATTCCATATGGGCACCGGTTTTAATCCCTGCAGCTCTACTTCCCATCCAGCTCCCTGCCTGTGGCCTGGGAAAGCAGCCAAAGACAGCCCAAAGCCTTGGGACCTTGCACCCATGTGGGAGACTCAGAAGAAGCTTCTGACTCCTGGCTTCGTATTGGCTTGGCTCCGGCCGTTGCGGTTGCTTGGGGAGTGAACCATCGGGTGGAAGATCTTCCTCTCTGTATATCTACCTTTCACAAAAAAAATCTTAAAAGAAAAAAAGCAGATTGAAGGTTAGAGGGACTAGAGATACCCATGACATTACACTTAAAATAACTTCAGTGTAGACACCTTGGCATTTCTTTCTTTTTTTTTTTTTATAAGGATTTATATGTTTATTTGAAAGGCAGAGTTAGAGCAAGAAACAAAGGAAGAGGTCTTTTATTTGTTGGTTTATTCCCCAAATAGCCACAACGGCTGGAGCTGGGCTGATCTGAAGCCACGAGTCAAGAGCTTCCTCCAGGTCTTCCACCTGGGTGCAGGAGCATCATTTGCGGCTTTCCTGGGTCACTAGCAGGGACCTGCATTGGAAGTGGAGCAACCGGGATTTGAACTGGTGTCCATGTGGGGTGTCAGTGCCACAGGCAGAGGCTCAGCATACTATGCCATGGCTCTGGCTCCATGTCTTAACATTTCTGTGCAGACAGATGTGCCTCGTTCCATGAAGCAGCCCTTTAGTTTTCCATCGTTAGGGATATGCTTTCATTTAAACCCTCCCTGATTACTGGGTAATTGGATTATTTCCAGCTTGATGTTATTATAAACAATACTCCAGGGGACACCTTCAGGCCTTCTGTCTTGACTCATTCGTGAGTTCCTAGAAGCGATCTTGCTGGTCAGAGATTCAAGGAACGTCTAAAAAAGATTAATCACCTACTTCACAGAGTCATTCTTCAGTGCACATGGTGCAGTATGTAAAAGCTGCACAAGGGCCCGGAGTGAGCAGCATGCTGCATCTCCACGGACTCACTTCCGCTACAGCTGACCGTTTTCCAGAAGCATTCTTCCTAAACATGTGAGCATAATATAAGACTCCCAGAAAAGTTCCAGGAACAGCACGGTGGAGCTCCAGACATGCCACATCTGCCAGCTGTGGGCACTGTGCCATGTCTAATCGAGGGGATTCTGCACTCAGGGTGCCTTCTTAGTGTGTGTGTGTTTCCTAGAAACAAGGGTGACCTTTGACACACAGAGAAGCTCATGATCACTGCAGTCAGGAAGTTGCCAGCCATATAAATTGCTTGTCTAATCCATAAGCCTTTAGTCACAGGTTTCTGATTGTTCCAATTAACGTCCTTTATAGAAAAAGCAGGAAATGTTTCCTCTGGCCCAGGAGCCACCCCAGGGTCACATGTTGCGGTCAGGTTGCTTGGTCTCTTTGATCTTCTTTAAGCAGGAACACTTTCTCATGCCAGCTGTGTTGGCTGCAACCTTGACTTCACTGATGAGAACAGGCGTGCTCCTTTGTTGGCTGTCCTGGGGTTGGCCTGGCCTCATTTCACCTGGCAGTTAGAGACAGGATGTACACTTTCAGCAGGGCCTTCACAGGTGACACAGTGTGCTGTGCCCCATGACATGGTGTCCAACTGTCCCGTTGCAGGTAATGTCACCCTCGATGACTTGGCCAAGGCGGCATGGCCAGCAGGGCTTTTAAATTTGTCTGGCTGTTGTTAGATTGTTGCTGCCCCGTAGCCCGTCCTTGTACCCGTCAGTCTGGAGATCTGCCTCCACCCTCCCACCTGGCCCCTCTTTCTCTCCTGCTGTCTGGAGGCATTGACAGGTATTTCCTCATGTGCCAGGCACAACCTGCCTACGTTCATGGGTCTGTGTTGGGTGTCGTTGGCCTACCTACCTGTGAATTCTCTTGCCTGTTCCTTGTTGGAAATGGCTTCTGTCTCTTCTGTCCGTGTGGCTCCTGACCTGAGAGAGCTGTTGACAAGGCAGACTCGTCTCTCCAGTGTTGAAAGGCCATGCCATGGTGCCCTGCAGTTTATGACCTGTTAGATACAGTGGTTTCCTTTGACTCTGGGACCGCCTGAAGAGTGAATGAGAGGCAGGTCCCTTGTGGAGTCCTACTCCATCTCGTGGGTGAGCAAACAGAATAGCAGAAAGGAACCGGGCGTGGACCCTGGGTTCTGATTCTTTCTGTAGCAGATTTATTGCTAGTGCTTGGATCAAGTTGTGATCAGGAAAGATGTAACCGTTTGCTAGCAGGGTGGGTGGGACAGATCATAGCAAATGAGCAAATAAAATCGTTCTGGATAATAGTAGCAACAATAAAGCAAAACTGGGTGACTTGATAGGGAGTGGCTTAGGGTGGATATTGGGGTCAAGTTAAGATGATGGGGGAGGGCCTCTGAATTGTGCCACCAAGGATGAGAAGGTGCTGACCGGGAGACTTAGGCAAGAATGTTCTAGATGATAGGAGGTGCACATGCAAGGGTCCTAGGGTGGGAGTGAGCAGGTACAAGGAGTCCAGGATGGCGGAATGGGCAGTGGAACAAGACGAGGTCTGAGGGGAGGGCATAGGCTGTAGGGCCTGGTAAGCTGAGCCAGGAGGTTTTAAGCAAAAGTGTGAGTTTAACTTTTTTTTTTTTTACAATCTTATTTTAATTTTTGCTTATTTTATTTGAAAGGCAGAGAGAGCAGGAAAGAGTCCATTCACTGATTCACTTCCCATATGCCTGTCACTGACTGGGTGATCCTGGAACTCAGTCTGGGTCTGCCATGTGGGTGGTAGGGACCCAATCAGCTGAGTCAGCCCCTGCCACCCCCCACCCCCCAGGGTGCACTGCCACAAGAAACCACAGTCAGAGCTGGGACTCACCCTGGCACTCAATAAGGGCTGAAGGCACCCCACAAGGCATCTTAACTGTCAGGCCAAGTACCCATCCCAGTTTTAGGTTCAGAGGCTCCCTCTGGTGGATGGCCCACAGCAGGCAAGTGGCGGCAGAGAGGCTGACAGAGAGGTGTCCCAGCCAAGTGGGGTTGAGAATGAGAATGGAGGCAGTGACAAGCAAACAGAGGGAACAGATCTGAGAATGAATTAAACAGTATTTTGCCTTCAGGGTTGGCACTAGGGGGACACTTGGGGGGAGGGTAGGTCCCTGGGGGAGGAGGGGACGGGATAGTTTCTGAGACTGGGTCTTCTCCTTCACCTGTCCTGCTTTGCCCCCACCCTCCAGGTGTGTCAAATGCGTCAACAAGTACTCCACCCCGGGGGCCCTGGAGCACCACCTGCAGACAGCCACTCACAACTTCCCCTGTCCACACTGTCAGAAGGTGGGTGCCGCTGCTCCTCTCCCGGGATCCCCGCCACAGTGGGGGTGCAAACCTCCTCCCTATTCCTCCTACCCGCCCCCCCATCACTGGTCCTTCTTTTTCCTGACCCTGGCAGCACTCCCGGAGGCCTCTTCCTAACACCAGTCAAGCCAACCAGGAAGCCTTCTGCTTCCATTCATCACAAAGCATCCTAAAGTTGAATGGAACCCAGTCCATGGAGGGTGATGGATTGACATCCCAAAAGGCGCCCCCCCCCATCTGTAGATTCCGCTACCTCTGCTCCTTTGAGAGAACAGTGGTTATTTTTCACTGATTTGCCAGTGGTCCCTTGGAGTTCCTGCGTTCTTGGCAGTGCGGATGGCGTGCCCCTGTCCCCCACTTAGTGCGTTGGGCTCGCTTCTGCATTTCAGCCTCTTTTCTTATCACCTGGTACAGCCTGCCCTGATTTAACTTTGGCCTCATTCTAAATGTTTCTAATTCCCTAGTCTACTTTGGGGCTTTGGAATCTGTGGTCCGAGTAAGGGACATCACAAATCAGATCTGAGCATTTTACCTGAGGGTAGGTGGGCTGTTACTGTCCCTGCTTCACAGGTGGAGAACTCAAGGCACCCTAAGCTGCAAAGTGACGGCGCCTGCACATGGTCTGTGCCCTGGATCATTTCTCTTTCTGGCGATTTTGGTTCCTGTATTTTTCAGCTTTTTAATACCTTCCTGTTCATTTCTTTGATAATTTGTTTTGTTTTTGTTTTTCATTCATCTCTTGTCAGTCATTTGGCTCAGGCTCTATGCTGGGGAATAAAATCCCACTTCTGTGCACTAATGTCTCTGGGGATCCAGTGCTGAATTTAGGCCTGGGTGGACAACCAGAGGTGCGGTTTACTTTGGCTGTCTAAGTACCGGGGAATCCAGGAAGGCCTCCCACAAGTTATGAAACCTGAGTTAGACCTTGAAGGACCAGGAGGAGTTGGCCAGACTAAGAGAACAACAAGCCCTGCTCTCCCCATCTGCCATCCTATCCCACCATCCCTGCATGAGAAGAGTGTCCTGGGAAGGAGCTTGACTTGATGCAGGCGCATTTAGGCTGGGCCTGACACAGTGGGTCCTGGCCCCAGGGGCCAGAAAGGGGCTGGAAATGAGGGACCCTCATCCCTTCCCCATGAGTCTGGGCTGGAACCAGCTCCTTCTGGTCCCCTAGGTGTTTCCTTGTGAACGGTACTTGCGGCGTCACCTGCCCACCCACGGCAGTGGTGGCAGGTTCAAGTGTCAGGTATGCAAGAAGTTCTTCCGGCGGGAGCACTACCTCAAACTGCACGCGCACATTCACTCAGGTGGGTGCCAGCCCTTGCCTGCCCCCTTCCCCTGGCTCTGTCCCGCCTCCCTTGCTGCCCTCTCCCCACCTCTAGGGTTCTCCTGGCCTGCTACTTAGCTGCCTCCCTCACCACATGGGGTCCCCATTAACTCCAGAGCGGAGGTGACCTGCTGGAGGTCAGGGGTGAGTTAACTCTTGACTCTGTCCCTACCCCGGCTCAGCCCCTGGATGGGCATCATTTGTACCTGCACCGACCTCATCTCCTTGGATGCTCAGCCAGGTCGGTGTGATTGCCTGCTCTCTACAGAGGCCCTGTGACTGTGAGTGACATGACCTGGCTGTGTAGGCCCCGCCCTGGACTCCTGCCTGACTTCTCTGTTCCTCCCACACAGTGGCCATCCATTGGCAAGGACTTGGATTCCACATGCCCAGCCTAGCCTGTCCTTGACCACTTCCTGTTTGTTGTACCAACCCCTCCCTTCTGCCGCCTTCATCCTCACACTCTGTTCTCCAAACACAACCAGAGGGAGCCTGTTAGGAGTTTAAGTCAGACCCTGTTGCTCTGCTCAGCTCCTGCCTGGTGGACTGACGGCATCAGCGTCACACGCCTTACCTCCTCCTTCCTTCTTCTACACGCTCTGGCTTTTACTTCTCCCTGGGACACTCCCTGCACACTCAGGCATCATCTCATGCATTGCCTTAGCAGGGGGAGCTCTCCTGAGTGCCTGATCTCAAATAGCCCCTTCTGGTTTCTGACCTCCCCCCAATAAAAGAGGGTCATTTAGTGTTGTGGTTAAGATGCCACTTGGGATTCCTGTGTTCCTGAGCAGAGTAAGTCCCGACCTTGCTTCTGATCAAGTGTCTGGCTGATGAACACCCTGGGAGGCAGCGGGCTCAGTGCTTGGGCTCTCATGTAGGAGACATGGACCGAGTTCCCAGCTGTTGACTTTCAGCCCCAACTGTCATGGGTGCTTGGCGTATGATAGATTTTTTTTCTCTGTCTCTTTGCCTTTCAAAATATTTTTAAAAACTGCAGTCAGTTGAGAGCATTTCTGCCTCTGGCTCCCAACACTTCCCTTAGAGGAACTGCAGTGTCAAGGGGCTCTGCATCATTCCTGGACCCTATGTTCAAATTCCTTCTTAAGGTACCCTCACTCTCCCTGTGTCTCCTGTAGGTGAGAAACCCTACAAATGCTCAGTGTGCGAGTCCGCGTTCAACCGCAAGGACAAGCTGAAGAGGCACATGTTGATCCACGAGCCCTTCAAGAAATACAAATGCCCATTCTCGTGAGTGGGGGGTTATGCTGTGGGTCTGGGGTGAAGGGGAGATCAGAGCCCTAAGAGGACTGCTGTGGGTGGGCTGTGCAGACAGATGTTGGCTCAAAGGGCAACAGGGCTCTCTCCTTGTGTCCTGTCCCGGACTGGCCTGCCTCTTTCCCCACCCTCCTGTAATGCCCAGCCCTTAGGGTGAGCAAGTGTGTCCTCTGTGCCTAGAGTTGGTGGAGGGGCCAGCATGGGTCAGTGGGGGTGGGGTCCTGAGCATGGTAGGCTCCCCCTGACTGGACACTTTGGGTTCCAGGACGCACACCGGCTGCAGTAAAGAGTTCAACCGACCCGACAAACTGAAGGCTCACATCCTTTCCCACTCTGGTAAGGGGCGCTTGGGTGGGGTTCAGCTCAGGTTCCTGGGGTGGACCTGCTTGGACAGGGTGTGGAGAAAGGGCAGATACAGCCCATGGAGATGGTCCCTCCCTGGAGCATCTGAGCCGATAGGCTTGCCCTTGTGGGGCCTGCCTGGGTATACGGGGTCAAGGGAGACGCAGCCCTGCCGGCCAAGGAAGGAGAACCAGACGCTGGAGCTCTCCTGGGAGTGAGGGGCTCAGGTCCCAGCTGGCTTCAAGATGTACCCTGAGGATTTCTTAGCAGGGAAGGGGCCTCCTAAGCACTCCCACGTTCCTGGGGCTCCCCACAGCAGCTTGGCTGCTGAACCACATACACTCCCCCTGCCCTTTTTTTTTTTTTAATATTTATTTTTTATAGATTTAAAAGGCAGAGGCAAAGTTACAGAGAGGGAGAATCTGAGAGATCTACTTGCTCACACCCCAAATGGCTGTAACAGCTGGGGCTGGCCAAAGTGAGGAGCCAGGAACTACATCTGGATATCCTGCTTGGGTGGCAGGGGCCCAAACACTGGAGCTGTCATCTGCATATTAGGGAACTAGATCAGAAGAGGGGCAGCCAGGACTTGAACCAGCACCCACATGGGATGGTAGCATTGCAAGCTGTGGCTTAACCAGCTGTGCTACAGTACTGACCCCCCCCAGGGAGTTTTTTACTCTGCACCGTTTTGAAATATCAGAACAGAGTTCTTTGTCAAGAGGGCTGCATTGAGCCCTCTAGGACTCAGTAGCATCCCAGCCTCTATCCACTGGGTGACAGTGACAGCTCCTAACCTCTTCATATGACAGCCAAGATTGTCACAAGGTATTGCCGAAAGCCCTCTGGGAGTTTTTGGGTTGCCCCTGATTGAGAATCATGATTTTCTTAGAGGAAGTATGGAACCTGGGAGAGGAGATCAAGGACTGGAAGGCAGAGGGCTGGGTCTTGGTCCTGCTGCTCTGCTGCTGGGTGGCCTCAGGCAAGTCATTGCCCCTCTCTGAGCCTCCTCTATTCCAAGGAGGCTGAGGGAGCCAAAAGCTTGCACAAGGTGCCTGGTCCCTGGTGAGCATGAGTGCAGTCAGCTTCACCGTGGATGTGGAGGCTCTGTGATGCATTCATGGAGTGAGTCTAAAGATACATTATGTGTCAGGCAGTGGGGGCACCACAGGGGAGAGACCAGAGATAAACTGTGCACAAATGCTCGTGTAACAGCCATGTGCACTGGATGACAGGGCAGGGAGTGAGAGTGGACATCTGGGAGGGTTCCCCGAGGAAGTGATGCTCAAGTTGAGTTCCTAGGGCTGGGAAAAGCCCGGGGAGGGGAAGCTGGAGGTGACTGAGACAAGGAGAGGTGGGAGAGTGGCAGGAGCATGGTAGGGAGAGGGAGGAGATGGGGCCGTGATCAGCAGCAGACTCTATGGGAAACTTGGGTTTCAGCTGATGGATTTGAAGGAGGGAATGTCAACAAGATGTTCCTGGTTGCCTTAGGAGGGCCCAGGTGAGGCAGGCGGATCAGAGAGGAGGTTGCTATTCCAGGTGGGAGATGATGGTGATCCAGCCAAGTAAGCAAGGTTTAGGGCTTGGGCAGGCTGTTCTAGGCAGAGCGAGATAGCCAGTGCAGAACCCCCCCGCCCCCGGGGCAGCAGCTGGCTTGGGGTGGGTGAGTATGGCTGGCACAGACAATGTGATGAGGAGAAGGTTGTGGCCAGGCCAGTCACACAGGTGTTTGTGGGCAGGAGACTGGATTGTATTCACAGTGTAGACCACGGTCGCAGGGTGGGGGATCTGGGTGCCTCTGACCCACTTGCCCTCACTCCCCAGGCATGAAGCTCCACAAATGCGCCCTGTGCAGCAAGTCCTTCAGCCGCCGCGCCCACCTCGCTGAGCACCAGCGCGCCCACACGGGCAACTACAAGTTCCGCTGTGCCGGCTGTGCCAAGGGCTTCTCCCGCCACAAATACCTCAAGGATCACCGTTGCCGCCTGGGCTCCCAAAAGGACAAGGACTTGCAACCCCGGCGTCCCCCCCGGAGGAGGGCAACTCCCCGCAGCAGCAACAGCAGCACTAGTGGTGGTGGTGGTGGACACAAACCAGGGACACCATTGCCTGACCCACTGGGGCTGCAGGAACTGAAGGACGCAGGGACGGGACCGGTGGCTGAGGCCACCCCAGGGAAGACACCCTTTGCAGAGCCGGATGCAGTGCTGTCCATTGTGGTGGGTGGTCCTGTGGGCGGGGACTCAGAGTTGGTAGTGCCTGGGCACACTGAGGGCCTGGGCTCCAACCTGGCATTGGCTGAACTACAGGCTGGGGCCGAGGGCCCTTGTGCCATGCTTGCTGTACCTGTCTACATCCAGGCCTCTGAGTGACCTAGGGACCTGTGGCATTTGTTTGCATGGATCAGCCTAGTGCACACATGTCTGGGGCCTTTGCGTGCAGAAATCCACTGGGAGTATCTTTCACGAACAGCGGTCCGCTCTGCTGCTGGAGTGCCCTGCAGCATTCTGGGCCTGGGAGTAGGGCTGCTGGTGGCTTCTGGGAGTGATGAGAGAGAAGGCTGTGTCTGAGCTTCCAGAGTCTGGCTGGGCTAGGCTGGGGGTCAGGCCACCCTCCTCCAGGCTGCCAGGGGTGGCCTCTGGTTCACCTGTCCCTTGTGGTGGGACATGGTCGGGTCCTCATAGGTCCCCAGGTAGCACTGCGATGGAGACATCAGAATACACTCAAGTGACATAGCTGGAGTATAGCCAGGAGGAAGCAGAGCTACTTCTAGTCCCAAGAAATTGCCACATCCTTCCCGTGTCAAATCACTCCCCAGTCTGTGAGCCCAGACTCCTCATTTGTACGATGAGGCCTGTCATAGTGCTACCTCCTAGGGCTCTTATGGGGATCCAGTGTGAAGAGCTGTGCTCATGGTGAGGCATGGTGCCGGAACTAAGTGCTCAGTAAATGATTACAAAGCCTGTGTTGGTCTGAGAGACTCACATCTTAGCCATGGCAGTTCCTTCATTGGACGCTAGGTGACAGCACTGTCTCCAGAGCCTGTGAGGGCTGAAGGTGTCCCAGGGGAAGGAGAAGCAGGTTTGATGCCTGCCCTATCCCCTAAATGTTTGCTACAGAGCATGACTGATGGGATGCCCAGGGGAAGGCACTTGTAACCTCTTGTAGAAATTTAGAATTCCAGAACTTGGACTTGGCAAGCCGTCCCTGCTGGCAGGCCTCTATAGGGATATCACTGCCCCAGCACCTGCTTCCTAATCCCCACCCAGCAAACCTGGCTCATCAGGAGGCAGGGAGTAAAAGGGTCTCCATTTTGTCTGAGACTCAGGGAGCAGCCAGGGCAGGACATGGCAGAACTGTCAGACTCATTTTGATTCTCAGGCTCCCTGAAGATTGCATGCCCTTTGAACTCCGGACTAGAGCTCAGGGCTGAGCCCCACTTCCCACATCCTCAGGAAGGGTAGGATGTGGCAGGCGCAGGGGAGGGCTATACAAAAAAAAAGGTCAGAAGCCAGGAAGCCTGCGTGGAGGGGTTGTTGTTGGAGCTGGACTTGGCGCAGTCTTCTGTGGATGGTTGACGAGAGGCAGGCTAAGAACAAGGCAGCAGGGGAGACCTCGAGATATGCCAGTGCAGGGCCTATTGTTGGGGCCTGGGACGTTTCAGAAGAGGAGGCGGACACGATGAGTCTGGTCCTGGGTTGTGCACTCCACATCACCTCTGCTTACCAGGAGCATCCTCCTCATTGCACAGTTGCCCATGAGGAAGCACAGAAAGCAAAACTGTGTGCTTGAGACACATAGGTTGTTAGCCAGGGCTGGGACTCGGGCATCCTTGGCCACTTTGCTCTATTGAAACAGGAATTGAATCAGAGCCTTGAACATGGATCTCAGGAGTTGGGACTTGACACGCTGTGGAGGAACTAGAGGGCACTCTGATCTCTCCCAAAATGAAACTCAGCAGCTTCTCCGTGGATCTCAAGGCTCTGTCTGATGGGATCCATCCCAGTCAACGCTCTGTCTGATGGGACCCGTCCCAGTTCTTCCAGCTGTTCTCCCATCACCCTTCCCTTCTTGCTCCACTCCAGCTGCCCCTCCCTCACAGGCACTCACTCGTTGTTCCTGGTCTGGATGCTCTTTCCCTAGATCCCCATCTAGGGGGCCTCCTTCCTCTATTCACCCTCGTCCAGAATCATTCATCCCGAGAAGCCTGCCTTGGCCAATCTGAAGTATCTCCTACCCAATCACTCTCCAGTTTCCTAACTTGTTTTGTTTGTTCACCACCCTTGACATTTTTTACTTTTTTTTTTTTAAAGATTTATTTGTTATTTATTGTAAAGTCACATAAAAAGGAGAGACAAAGAGTTTTCGTCTGGTTCACACCCTAAGTGGCTGCAAATCAGAGCTTAGTCAACCCAAAGCCACAAGCTTCTTCCAGGTCTCCCACATGGGTGTAGGGTCCCAAGGCTTTGGGCCGTCCTTGACTGCTTTCCCAGGCCACAAGCAGGGAGCTGGATGGGAAGTGGAGCTGCCGGGATTAGAACCAGCGACCATATGGGATCCCAGCACATGCAAAGTGAGGACTGTAGCCACTAGGTTACTGGACCAGCCCCCACCACCCTTGACATTTTATTAGAGATATTTCTTTGTTGCTTTTTTGCTTCCCTTACAAACAAAAGGTCCTCAAACAGGTCTGCAACTACAGTGCCTGCTGCCTGGGGATTGTCAGGCAATATTTGTTGACCACAGGAACAGCAGAAGCACTTGGAGAGAGGAACAAGACCTGCTTGACCTGACTCCCTTCTACCCCAGCAAGGCCAAGGGTAAGTCTTCCCCTGGAAGAATCTGTCATGCAGGCTGAGAAATGACTGGCCCAGGGTCCTGGGCGGCAGCGCCTGATCTGAGAGAGAGATCAGATTCTATCTGGGACAAGTGATGGGGCGGTGGCCTGGAGGTCTCGGTTGGCAGAGCAGGTGTCCTTGTGACCCAGCAGAGCAGGTTGGACTAGTTTTGCTTGCTTCAGGAAGGCAGCAGCTGCTGCAGGAACTCCCAACCACCAAAGCTGCTAGTGACACCCACCCTGTACCCTCCCACACTCACCCCCACCCCCTTCCCTGTGATTTGTGAGGCCTGCAGGGTGGCGATCCTGGAACCTAGCAGGGTGACTGTGACCTGCTGTTTGCCCAGGGTGCCTGGTACAGAATTCTGAGCATGGAGGCCGAGGCATAACCCTGTGACGTAGGGCCCCAAATACAGTCATGAAAAACAAGCCAAGGACCAGGGAGGAGACGGGTTTTATTTGATGTCTTATGATGGCAAAGAACTGCCACCTCAGTTCTTTGATTTATCCACTCAGCAGGTAACTACCTGTCAGTCATAGTTGCCAATACTTTGAGCAGAGTTGTGATCTCCAGAGGTTTCTTGTGGAGGAGACAGAAGACAAACTACCCACAAGGTGTAAAAGTGAGTTATACAGAACAGGTTAGAAGTTTATAGAGTAATAAGTAGTGCAGGGAGCCTGGGTGTGTCTGAGAAACTGCAGAGAGGTCTGGAGGGCTAAAGGGAGACATTGCAAGAGACCAGTGAAGGGAGAGGCAGGAGGCCCAGGACACAGCCTGCAGGGATGTGAAGGACCCTCAAAGAGCTTGGTTCTTCTCTGGGGGGTACAGAGAGCTATCGGAGGGTTGTGAGCAGTGCAGTCACTTTCTGATGCAGATTTGTTTCCACTGTTTATATTGATTTGAAAGAGTGACAGGAAGTGACTACTTGTTGACCCAGTCCTCAAATGCTCGCAACAGTTGGGGCTGAGTCAGACTAAAGCCAGCAGCCTGCAATTCAATCCATGTGCCCCAAGTGGGTGACAAAGTCTTCAGTAGTTGAGCCATCACCTCTGACTCCTGGGCTATATATTATCCAGAAGCTGGGTTAGAAGTGGAATAGCTGGGACTCCAATTGGCCCTACGCTGTGAATCACAAATACCAGCTTAAACTGTTGCACTACAACACTGGCCCCAGGAACAGTCATCTGTTAAAGGCTGCCTCCAGTTGCCAGGCAGAAAATGAGCTACAGGGCAGGGAGTTAAGGATGGTTGATGGAAAGGCCAGAGGCTAGGTTCCTATAGCTGCCACAACAAATTGTCATAAACTTAATGGCTTAAAAGGACCTACATGTTATCACGTCATAACACTGAAGGTCACTGAGTGTGATTCTCATTTGACCCAAATCCAGCGCTCAGCAGGAACACATGCCTTCTGGAGGCTCAGCGAAGAATCTCTTTACTGGTCTTTTCCGGTTTCCAGGAGCCACCTACACACCTTGGCTCACAGTGTCTGTCCCTCTTCCAAGCTGAGAGGGTAGCGTCTTGTCATCTCTCCCTGATGCAGACCCCCGCTTCCTTCTTGTGATCACACTGGCCCAGCCAGGTAATCCCAGATAATCTTCTCATTTCCAAATCCTCTCTCGAACAGTCTTGTGAAGTGCCTTTTACACGAAAGGTGATATTCCAGGGATTAGGATTTGGGTATCCCTGGGGCCTGTCCTTCTGCCTACCATAGTGATCCAAGCCAAGGATGATGGTGACAGACCAGGGGGATAGCAGTGGGTATGGTTAAAAATGGTGGGATTTTGGATCTTGGACTACATCCAACAGGAGATTCCAAGGGAGTGGATGTGTTTCTTCCTTCAGGAGGGAGCCTTCTGGTCTACCTCTGTCTTGCCTCTGGGCCTGAGTTAATGGTTTTGGAGTGAGGTCCAGGAAGTTGTAAACCATTGCCTGGAGCCTGTCCACACAGGACTCAGTGCCTGCTGCATGCCTGCATGTGCTCAGAGAGTGGACAGGGTAGACCTGTTACTGCCCTCTCCCTTTAATTCAAACGCAGGGCTCCCTCCAAACCACATCACCCAGCTACTCCTCACTTATCTGTCTCAGGTTTTTGTTCCACCCTCTTTGCTAACTTTGGCCACTGTAATTCACTTTGTTATATGTTTGTATGTCAGTGACCATTCCTTCATTTGTAGGTAAAATAGCATAGTGGCTAGACTGGTTGTGTTTAAAGAATCCCAGTTCTGGGCCTGGCGCGATGGCCTAACAGCTAAAGTCCTCGCCTTGAAAGCACCGGGATCCCATATGGGCACAGGTTCTAATCCTGGCTAGACCCATTTCCCATCTAGCTCCCTGCCTGTGGCCTGGGAAAGCAGGAAAGAGTGTCTCAAAGCCTTGGAACTCTGCACCCACGTGGGAGACCCAGAAGAAGCTCCTGGCATATAGTTTTGAATCAACGTAGCTCCAGCCATTGCGGCCACTTGGAGAGTGAATCACTAGATGGAGGGTCTTTCTCTCTGTATCTCCTTCTCCCTGTAAATCTGCCTTTCCAATAAAAATAAATCTTTTTGTAAGAAAAAAAAAATGGGGACAATCAGGATGCCCACCTTCTATGGTAGTTGTGTGGGCCAATGCACATATTGAGGTCATGGGTCCACAGCCCCGCAAGTCTAGCATAATATCAAGTGCAGGGCCCTGTTCAACCCACAACCCCCACCCCTAATCTCTACTCTCAGGTCTTGCATGAGGCAATCCATATAGAATAATCAGCTCAACAACCTGGCTTAGCAAGTGCCCAGTGAATGTTTCCTATTTTGTTTTGTGCAATTTTACCTTCCTCACTACTTATTATTGGGATCATGTGAAAAGATCCACTTTGTTTATAAAGCACAAAGCTACCTAAGTGTTACAAAATATGTTTGCTGTGTGTGTGTGTGTGTCATGGATCGCACACATTCCAACCCTGAGACCTTGACTGAGCATATTTGGCACACCTTGAAGAGAATTCCAGTGGTTCAGGCAAAAGGGTACAGGACAAGGCTTCCCACAAAACAAAGTTTTAGAAAAAAAAATAATGCCACATGGAAAACTTCCACTTACATTCACTGGTAAGTTAATGCTTCTATTCTCCCTAAGATTTATTTGAAAGGCAGAGCTACTGAGACAGAGGATGAAGAAACAGGGAGTGATCTTCCAACCACTGTTCACTGCCCCAATGACTGCAGCAATCAAAGATGGGGAAGACCAAAGCCAGAAGCCGGCAGTTTCTTCCATGTCTCCTTGGGAATGTCAGGGACCCTTGGGTTATTTTTCACTGCTTCCTCAGGTGCTTTAGCAGGGAGCTGGATAGGAAGCGGAGTAGCCGGGATTTGAGCAGGTGCACATATGGGATGCTGGCATTGCAGGTGACGGTTTTATGTGCTACACACAGTACCAGCCCCCGTGACCACTCTTCTGACTCCTACCATGGAGGATGAATTTTTGCTTGCTTTTGCATTTTGTAGTTGGGGAATCACCTAGGGTTGTTTTTTTTTTTTTTCCCCCTGGTTTCCTCCATGAAGTGTGACAGCTGTGAGTCATCCAGTATATTGCGTGTACTGGTGACTCATTCTTCTCCACGCAGGTCTCAGTGAATGAATACCAGTGGCTCAAGTTTGCAAAGGCTTTCTCAGAATCCCGAGATATGAAAGCCAGGGAAAGCCCAGGAATCTCCATTGTTGATCCACTCTACCCTGTGCATTTCTATCAAGCCTATTGAGTCCTGGATTATGATGGCAGGCACCCTGCCCAGGTGTGACACAGGTGTCATCATGTCTACCCCACACAGACATCACAAACTATGCTCGGCCACATATCCCACTCTCCCCCAGATTTCTTTATAAGAAATCCGCATGCAGCCTCAACATTCTTCTCAGCCCTACAGTCCCGGTAGCCAACATTGGTGAAAGCTATCTGCTGTCACATTCCCACGATGTTTTTAGGGGCTTCTGGAGGGGCGGTAGTGATTTTCACAGTTTACCCTGTCACAGGAAGAGATAGGCAACAGTTAGGTCCACATTACCTGCTTAGTCATGTATTCTTTGGGCAGTGGTGCAAGTATGTGGCTACTTGGTATTGCCTGACTTAGACGAGAGATAAAGGAGCAGTTTGTTTGGAAGTAGAGAGGCTGCTGTATCTTGGATGGCCCAAAGGAAGGACCCTTGTGGGTTTGTGATTTTTTTTTTTTTTTTTTGCTTTGATACAAGCACTGTCAACATTCTAGCATGTCTCTCACACTTGAAATTTTCCTTCTGATTTGGAAAGTTGAGTGCGATGAACTCAAGCAGCCCCTAGAAATGGCTACCTGTGCACACACAGGTTGGGGTTTTAGTGTATTAAAACAAAACAACAAAAACGACATCCAGGCATGACTTTCATGTATGTCAAATAATGGAAGTCCAAGTGAGCTCTTGTTGGTATCCTATGTGAGTGCCAGTTCAAGTCCCAGCTGCTCCACTTTTAATCCAGCTCCCTACTAATAGCCTGGGAAAGCAGCAGAAGATGGTCCAAGTTTTTGGGCCTCTGTATCCAGGTAGAAAACCCAGTTGGAGTGTCAGCCTGCGCATTTTGGGATTGAACCAGTGGATGGAAAAGCTCTCTCCCTTTCTTTGTAACTCTGCCTCTAAAATAAATAAATCATTTATATTTATCTCTTTTCATTGGAAAGATGTTGCATCCAACCTGAGTTTCTCCTCAAGAAGTGCAGCCCAGACAGCTCTGCAGAACGAAGTTCATTGAGGAGGCAGGTAAACAGACCAAACGGCTGGCGTGAGTTCTCTTTTCCTTCAGAGAGTGACCCCGATGTGAGGGCTGCGTGGGTTTTTATAGAAAGAGTGATTTATGCAGCTGTGGGAACCAGGTGATTTGGGCAGCCATGGGAGGCAGCCATGAGAAGAATGGGTGAAGCAAACCTTACCATATTGATTCACGAAACCGAGGGTTACTGGCAGGATGTGTTACACCTTGTGCTTTGGCCCAAAAAGCAGGAAGCTGGCAAAACATTTTGTACAGAAGCATGAAGAGCAGGTTAGTAAACTTACACAGGCCTGAACCAAAGTGACTCCAAAAGCAGATTTCACAAAAGCAGATTTACACAGAGGAGAGACACAGAGAAAGATCTTCCACCCTCTGGTTCATTCCCCAGACAACTGCAGTGGCTGGACCAGCAGCTTCTTCTGGGTCTCTCATGTGGGTACAGGGGTCCAAGGACTTGGCTATCCTCTTCTGTTTTCACAGGCCACAAGCAGGGAGCTGGACAGGAAGTGGAACAGCTGGGACACGAAACGAAGTCCATGTGGGATGCCAGTACCACAGGTGGAAGCTTAGACTACTAGGCTACCATGCTGCCCTCTCCACCAGGTGGCCGGTATTAACAAATGAAGCAATTCTTGATATGAAGATAAGCGAGAAGAATGAAATGTGCCCCACATCAGCTGGGCCTGTTGGCTGCTGGGGAAAAAGGAAAATAACTCCTTGACACTTAAGAGTCGTTGGTGCCCCCGGTATAATTATTGTTGCCTTAATGATGGTGCATTGTAGCCAGGAATAAGACAATTTTGAGCACGTGCACTTTCCATGTCCTATCTTATCTAAGTTTCTGGATGGCTCCCTTATCACCATCAGTTGCCGGAAGGCAGGGCAGAGTAACGGAAATAACTTAAGAAACTGGTCCAGGCAGGTTTCAAACCTTTGAATCCAGTGCCACTGGTGGTAGTCCCTGGTACAGCTCAGAGAAGCTGCTGAGTGAATAAAGGGTAGAAAGGCATCCCAAGTGGAGGGAACAACATTTGTACAAAGGAACAGCCAGGGCCCGGTGTGGTAGCCTAGTGACTAAAGTCCTCCCCTTGCACACTATGGGATCCCATATGGGCATAGGTTCGTATCCTGGTGGCCCTGCTTCCCATCCAGCTCCCTGCTTGTGACCTGGGAAAGCAGTAGAGCATGGCTCAAAGCCTTGGGACCCTGCAGTTGTGTGGGAGACCTGAAAGAGGCTCCAGGCTCCTGGCTTGGGATTTGCTCAGCTCCTTCTGTTGTGGCCACTTGGGGAGTGAATCAGCAGATGAAAGATTTTCCTTTCTGTCTCTCCTCCTCTCCGTATATCTGAATTTCCAATAAGAATGTTTTAAAAACGAGTTATGCTACTGTGTTGCTCAATTTTTCCTGAGTCTTGCTTGGTTTACTCACCTTTAAAATAGGCTGCTTGCGTCAATTCAATGGAATCATACATGGGAAGACTGGTTCAGAATGTCTGGGTCACATGAGGACCACATTGCTAATCGTTATTAATTTTTGATGGCTCTTTGCAGTTCTTCCAGCTTTCCAGAACACGTTCCAAGGAGACTACATTTCCCAGCCTGCCCTCTCGCCCTTTGAACTCAGCTAGGCCAAAAAGACGCGCCGCCAAGCGCTTCCAGCCGGAAGACTATAGCCTCCCGGCATGCAGCGCGCCCCCTTCCATTAGACTTGAGGCGCGACCGGCGCTTTGCCCGCTGGGAGTTGTAGTCAGCGGCGCGTTGCCCTGACGCCGGCCTGGCCGGGCGTGGGGGCCTGTGGGAGGTGGTGCGGCCAGGCCCAGCTGCAGGGCGGAGGCGGAGGAGAGGCCTGCGGCGGCAGGAGCGGCCGGGCCGGGAGCGGGCGCCGGATCCGAGCCGAGCCGGAACGGGCGGCCAAGGCCGGCGCGGCGAGCAGCAACCATGTCGGTGTTTGGGAAGCTGTTCGGGGCTGGCGGGGGAAAGGCCGGCAAGGGCGGCCCGACCCCCCAGGAGGCCATCCAGCGGCTGCGGGACACTGAGGAGATGCTAAGTAAGAAGCAGGAGTTCCTGGAGAAGAAAATCGAGCAGGAGCTGACGGCCGCCAAGAAGCACGGCACCAAAAACAAGCGCGGTGAGGCGGCCCTGTCCCTTCAGACACTCCACAGGCTCCCCGCCCCCCTCCACCCCCACCGGGGACCGGACTTCACTTCAGTCCGACTCGCCTCGGGGGTCTGCTACGACCCTGGAGACCCTGGAACCCTCCGTCCCCGGGGGCGGGACCCTTCCCCATCTTCCTCTCTTCAGGGTCGCCCTGGGCCCTGAACTCTGAAGACCACCAAGTGCCCCCCACACTCCGCCAAGGCCCTTGCAGACCCCCGATCGCACGGCCGTCGTCCCCTCCGCCCTCTCTTCCTTTTCTCTTCCGCCTTTTCGTCCTGCCTTGGGCCTCACCCACTCGCCAGCGCCGGCTTAGCTCTCACTTCTGCCTGCCGACCTAGCCTGTGTGTGGTCCCACCCCTGTCTTTCCCCGGCCCCTTGGCGGAGTCCTGGGAGCTACTCTGGCCTTTTCCTCGTCTCCCCGAATTCTCCTTGAAAAGCTTCCTGGATGGGAGAGAAAAGGGGACTGGCCAGAGGAGGGGAGCCCCTGGCTCCTGCACTAAGTGAACTTGAGCAAGTTGCTTCTCTCTAGGGGCGTGATTCTCCCCACTTCCTCCCCTGTCCACCAGCTCCCCAATCACCCAGGATTTGCTTTCTGGGATTTGCTTTGGGTTACTTCACGTCCTGGCCTTGTCAGTTTCCCGTGGGCGCAAGCCTTCACCTGGTGACTCACCGCTTCATCGCCCGGCATGGGACTCCCTGCCGCCTCGCTGGGCCAGATTCCTCCCCCACCGCCACTCCTGAGGTTCAGGGTCAGGCACTCTGACCTCACTTGCTGCTGTGTAGTTTTCTGGGCAAGGGAGAGGAATGTGAAAATGCCCTGGTAACTGTAAGACAGGACGTTAGGAATGCTTGTTTTTTCTTGTTGCACGCAGCTGGTCAATCGCAGGGTCCGCTGTGTCCCCTGAGAGTGGGGCGGATACAACAGGGACGCAGGAGTTACCCAAAATAAGGAATGGATTCAGAAGTCCGTTAATGACTGGCTGTATAACCTTGAGCTAGTGAATTGGCCCTTCTGGAAGGAACAACATGGATTTATAGGTCCCAGCCTGTAGAGTAGAGGTCTCACGAATGCTCTTTCTAACAGAAGAATAAAGCAGTTTGGCTGAGGATGCCCCTCAGGGAATTCTCTGGGTGCTTGCTAGAAGGAGTATGTTTGCAGGAATGAACCAAACAGCACTTCCACCTTCACAGGGTATAAGTCAGAAGCAGACAAGCAAGCCATGACAAGGGGTAGTAAGTTCTAAAGAAGAGGAGGGTGATGGGTTAGCCAGTGTGGAGAGTGCCACTGGGAGAGGCAGCTTGGGAAAGCTCAAGTTGGAACTTCCTTCTTGAAATAGAATGTGTGCTCTGGAAAAATGTGGGAAAGGGACCTTGCAGGCCCAGCAGAAGAAAGTCTCCAGAGGCTGGCTGGTTTTAAGAAATAGGAAGAGGACTTTTGTGCATAGCATGTGCAAAGAAGTAAAGGTGGTGCGGATGGACCTTGACCGTATGCTAACGGCAGAGGTTTAAACATGTCATCTGGCTGCTCTTTGGAGAGTGGGAGGGAGTGAGGTAGGGGTGGAGAGCCCTGGGAGGAGTGTCCTTGTCTGGTGGTTACGTGTGCCCTGGAGACTCAGAGGAGTGCTGTGTTTTGCCGTCTTGGGCTGTTTTTCTCTGCCTGGAGTGTCTTGTTTTCAGCAACAGTAATTAGAGCTGTTTGGACCAGTCTGTGTTTTGGCACATCCCTCCTTCCCCTTAAACAGTGAAGGAGGGTGGCAGCTTACCTCCTCTTCTACCGGAAGGGCAGCTCTGTGGGCCTCTGGGCTGGACCCCGCTGAGTCTCTGCAGTTTCAGGGGTGCTTGGCTCTGAAGAGGCTCTCAAGAGGCTGCCTGCAGATCCGGAGGAGCACCAGCCTCTGAGGGTTTTTTTTTTGTTTTTTGTCTTTTAAGATTTCATTATTATTCAAAAGGTGGAATTACAGAGAGAGACAGATTGACTATCTGCTGGTTCACTTCACAAATGGCTGTAAAGCTGGGTCAGTCTGAAGTCAGGGGTTTCCTCTGGGTCCCCCCCAGGAGTGCAGGGGACCGAACACTTGGGTCATCCTCTGCTGCTTTCCCAGACACATTAACAGGCAGCTGGACTGGAAGCGGAGCAGCCAGGATTTGAATCAGCACCCAGATGGGATGCTGGCAGTACAGGCAGAGGCTTAACTTTCTACATCACATTGCTGGGCTAACCTGTGTTCTTGAGTTTGCCTGAGCAGGCAGGAGCCACTGCAACTTAATCTTCCTTTAAATTTTTTTTTAAGTATTTAAAAGGCAGAGAGAGAACAACAAAGTCAGAGATTGAAACCAACAGAGCTGTCATCTAGGTCGCAATGTTCTCAATCCAGGTGTCTCCCACATGGGTGCAGGGACCCAAGGACTTGAGCCACCGCCTGCTGCCCCTCCCAGGGTGCATGTTAACAGGAAGCTGGACCTGGAAGTGGAGCCAGGCATGGCTGTTGGGCTCTCCAGTGTGACACAGGTGTCCCAAGCAAAGGCTCAGAGCCTGCCTCCCTCCTTTTGTGGTACTCCGGTGACAGTGACTGTCACTGTATACCATTGTCTTGTTCTACCTATTGATTTGCCACTGTGCCGAGACCCTGAGAATCAGACATCAAAATACACTGTGCCTCTTCTAGGAACTTGAGGTTTTAGATGTGGAATGTGTGTGTTGGGTGGGGGGACAGTGGAGAAAGAATCCTACAGTCAGTGCTGAAACCCGACGGTGTGCAGGGGCTGGAGGCACGGATGTGTAGTGGGGGGAGGTGTCTGTGTGGAACCTAAGGGTAAGGGAGGCTGTAAGAGAATGGGAAATGGGTTAGCAAGGCCTTTGGTGTGTTGGGAGCAGTGAGGTATCTCCTGATTAGTGTCTGTGGGTAGGACAGGAGAGAGAGAACGCTGGAGGGCAGCCTTACAGCCTTTGGACTTTGACTTGGAGATGGTCAGGACCCAATGACTGTCTTAAAGCAGAATCATGGGACTGGTACTGTGGTATGGTGTGCCAAGCTGTGGCCTGTAATGGCCAGCATAGCTTCCCACTCATATGGGTACTGGTTTGAGTCCCAGCACTCCACTTCTGATCCAGCTTCCTGTTAATCGCCTGGGAAAGCAATGGAGGTCAGCCTGAGTACTTGGCTTCTGCACGCATGGGGGAGACACAGAAAAAGGTCTGATCCTGCCCTGCTGTGTGACTGGGGAGTGAACCAGTAGATGGAAGAGAGTCAGTCTCTTTTTCTCTTCCGCTCTTCTCTGTATAACTTGGCCTTTCATATCCATCAATAACTTTTTTTAAAGATTTATTTTTATTATTTTTTTATTGGAAAGGAGGATATACAGAGAGGAGAGACAGAAAGGAAGATCTTCCGTCCAATGATTCACTCCCCAAGTGAGCGCAACGGCCGATGCTATGCTGATCCGAAGCCAGGAGCCTCTTCCGGGTCTCCCACAGGGGTGCAGGGTCCCAAACCTTTGGGCCATCCTCGACTGCTTTCCCGGGCCACAGGCAGGGAGCTGGAAGGGAAGCGGGGCTGCCGGCATAGAACCGGCGCTCATATGGGATCTCAGCATGTGCAAGGCGAGGACCTTAACCACTTGCGCCACTGCGCCGGGCCCTCCATCAATAACTCTTAAACAACAACAACAACAACAAAGCAAAGTCATATCTGCTTGGGTTTTTGAAAGGATGTTTCAACAAAAATGGATGAGTACAGTTTTTTCATTTATTTGAAAGCAAAGAGACGGGAGAGAGTGCTGTTTTCCTTTTTGTTTTTTTAAGGTTTTTTTTTTTTAAGATTTTGGAAAGTCAGGTATACAGAGAAGAGTAGAGACAGAGAGGAAGATCTTCTGTCTGCTGATTCACTCCCCAAACAGCCAAAATGCCCTGAGCTGAGACTATCCAAAGCTAGGAACCCAGAGCCTGCTCTGGGTCTCCCATGCGGGTGCAGAGTACCAAGGCTTTGGCCTGTCCTCGACTGCTTTCCCAGGCCACAAGCAGGGAGCTGGATGGGAAGCAGGGCCACTGGGATAGAACCAGCGCCCATATGGGATCTCAGCGCATGCAAGGCACTAAGCCACCGTGCCAGGACTGAGTGCTATCTTTTGCTGGTTCAGTTCTCAAGCACCTGGAACAACCAGGACTGGTTCAGTTTTCAATCTAGGAACCTGGGATTCCTTCTCGGTCTTCTACATGGGTTGCAGTGACCCAAATACTTGAGTCCTCACTTGCTGCCTTCTAGGGTGCACATTAGCAGGGAGCTGGATTGGAAGCCAAAACAGGACTTAGCCAGGCACTCTGATGTGGGGGTGTGCATATCCTAAGTGATGCCTTAACCAGTGTGCTACATGCGTGTGCAAAGGCCATAAGGGATAGGCTGGATTTAAACTGGCTACGTAGTCACTAGCTGTGTGTGTGGAGCACGTTGCCTTGTCCTTTTGATTCCTTCTGTACAAATCAGATGCTCTCTCTTCTTTATAGGATTAAAGCATGTTATGCATGAAAGCTCTTAGCACAGTATTGGCCACATGGTAAATGATCAATAAATGTTTGCCATTATCATGATTACAGGTGAGCACTAAGGGCCTGGAGCAGGAATGCAGAGGACTGGAGGAGAAGTCATGCTTGTCAGAGACTTTCAGAGGAGAATCAGAAGACACAAAGTGACTGCAGTTGTGGGAGTGGCAGCATGCAGGGCAGAGTTGAGGATGTTTGTAGCTTGGGAAACTGAGTGGCCTGTGATGCCATTAACTTTGAGAAACAAGGAGAAGGGGTAATACGTCATCATTGTGCAGTCCTTTGAAGTTTGCACAACTCCTTTTTAGTGACAGTCTCAGCATGCACTGTGAGCTCCATGAGGCAAGACAGTGGTTATGTTCACTGCTGGGTCCTCAGCACCTACTGTGGTACGTGGTACGTGGTACGTGTTTAATGCTCACCAAGTATTTGTT